GTATATCTCAGAATTTCGGAAAAGTCCCTAGTTTTCGAGAAAATCGAGATTTTAATTTTTCGTAGTTCCGCCGCTCACCGCTAGATGGCGCCACCTGTACCGTTTTGGACCGAATTCGACAAAAATTGATTTTCTGGCTTTATTAGGCATCAAACCGCATCAAACCCTAATAGAAATTTGTTTCTAAATGCCTCAGGAACCATACTACGTCGTCAAAGTGCCGAAATATTCATTTTTTTATTTTCCTTATATGCTTGTTCGGACCCTCACTTTTTGCACCTTCGGCTTGCTCGCTCAATTATTTATATGATATTTATTCAACTACTACGTTTTTTAAAAGAAAGTTTACACTTGAATAAATTTTGGTATGAAAGCATTATTTTTATTTCATTAGTAGAGTTATTCTTGTACAGTATATGATGATACCGTCAATAGTTATTTATTTAATAGACATTATTAACTATATTAGGTACATTATTTTCAATGTTGATATCTGTTTATTAATATTACAGTTGCTACAAATACAAAAGAATAGCTACAATTGGCAGTAATCGTACAAACAGAACAAAATTCTGGATAAAATAAATTATTCTAAAATCAGTTAACAATAATTCAATGATAATGTCGTTGAAACATTGAAAAGTATGATCACTTTAGTAGCATCAAAATGTCTTTTAATAAAAAATAATGAAAATACCCAATCGTAAATTTTTAAAAACTGTAACTACAATCGTGATGTATTGTATTAATTAAAAACTTAATACAACATTTATATAACAAACTATCAACAGAAAAAAGTCTGTTCGTGTATATGAGAAAATAATTTGTTGTAGATTTAAAAAATCTAACAATACAATGATTCTTAAAGAAAAGTTAAAAGTTTGATTACGTCGTTATAATAATAAAATTGCAATATTCCTACTGTATTTACAGTATTACTTTTACAAATCACAATTTCAATTTGTACAGAATGAATCTTTTACTACTTTTTGCTTTAATCGGGCAAAATAATTGTTGCTTACCTAATAATTAAAGGACTAGTTATTGTGATGTGATGTAAGTAGTAATTTTTTAAAACTATTCTTATAATTAGAATTAACCTTCCCATATAAAAAAAGCTATGTTGTCATTACATGTTTCAATGCAGCTTTTATAGAAAGGCTCTTCGTTTCGTCTATTAAAGCCAGAACAGTCTGTCCGGAAAAATTTGGGAGATTCGCGACTGCTCCATTAACCAATAACTTCTGCGCAACCTGTACATGATTATTTTCGAGAGCGTGAAAGAATGGAGTTCTCCCCGAACGACTATCTTTTAAATTCACGTTTGCGCCAGCTTCTATCAAAGCGCTGACACCTTCTAAATTACCAGAGAGTGCACAATAGTGCAATGCGGCAAATCCTAAAACGTACATACACATTAGAATAAATATTCTATTTTCAATGTATTTAAAATTTTAATAATTACCTAGGGAATCCATTTGATTGAGTAGTTCAGGATATGTTACGTATTTCAGGAAAACTGGCAATAATGGGGAAGAACATTTGCTTGCTAACAGAATCGCGGATTCATGCAACAGTTCAGATGTAATTGGTTTTGCCCCAGCTTCTAGTAACACGGTGACTATATCCTCAGATGAATTATACTTAACTGCTAACTCTAAACACGTCTGAAAACAACACTTCCTTTTTAATTCAATGTTTTCTATGCAATAACTTGTCATAAAACTGTGATGAATTTACCTCTCCATCCTCTGTGAGTACATCAATATCGATTTTAGATGCTTGTAGTACCAGTAACAGTCTTTGTACTTCTTGCAACTGGTTATTTACCACAGCTCTATGTATATTAAGCATACCTGATTCATCAAATTGTTGCATTCCTTCATGATCAATTTTCAGCTGGGTGGAAACTTTATTATACAATGAATGGTGTGTGGATAATACTTTTTTAACTCTATCTACATCTGTATTTTCACTAAAATATTCATTGAAATAATTATCTAATTCAAGAACATCTTGGCTACATACTGGAGTCAAACTTGGGAATAAATTTATATCATCAATATTTCTATTTACGTTCACTACAGAATGTACTTGTGTTGCTGCATTTATAGTAGGTGGGTGAACAGTTGACTGTTCTGTTTGTTTTATTCTTTTCAAAACAGGTGTATCTTCTTTTACTAATACAAAATTTTCTAAATCTAATAGTCCAAATACATCTGTTTGAATTGGAGAATCATGAACTGTTTTTAATTTTTCTGGTGGACTAATTGGAACTTGTTTTGGCATGCCTATTCCACAATCCGCTAGGGCTTGTAAAGCTTTCGTTCGAAGTTCCTCGTCTTTCACACTTATCACTGCTTCTTGAATTATGTTCCAATGCTGCAATAGTTTGTCCTGTTTAGGAATTTCAGCAGAACCTGTTTCATTAGCTTTACTCTTATCATTACTTTTTTCAGAAGTCGAATTTTCACTCTTCGTGCTGTCATCATTAGGTAATGTTTCATTTTGGTGAACATTACAAATTGAATCTTTAACTCTTATGCTATTATTATTATTAGATATTGTTTTATTTTGGTCAGAATTTGACTTATGCATATCATTAAACACATTTTGACTTTCACTGTTTAATTGTTTATTACTTGCAGGTACCAAAGTAATTTTATCATCTTGTTTTTTAAGTATACTTCTCTTATCTAAAATTACAGAACTATTCTTTTCTCCATTTTGAAAAGTTACATGAATCACTTTGTCTGTAGAATTTAATGGGTTTATAGAAATATTTGTATTATGCTCTGTATTATTAACCGGCTTCATACTAGATGAATTTTTGAATGAATTAATATTCTTCTCTACAATACAATTTTTTGGGTCAGCGTTAGTTATTGATTCAGTATTATTGGTGTTCACACAAGATCTAAAAGTTTCATCAGAGTTCCTTTTATTCTTGAATATTGAGAATTTCTTACATTTTACTACAGGAAATTTTGATTCTGTTAATTTCCGATGTTTTACAGAATCTAAATCCTGCTGAATATTTGATGTGTTCATTTTACTTTTATTTTCATCTGTGTGGTTTATATCTTTTTTACTATTAGAATCATGTTTTTGTTGATTATTTACAAATAGTATTTTATTTTTCTTTATTGTTACATATTTTGGAATACTTTTACTTAGATCTTGAACTTTCTCAGAATATTTATGAGAATTATTCTTTAATAATATCAATTTATCATTATTTAGCTGCTTAATTTTATTTACTGTAGGTAAAGCATATTGTAGTTGTACTTTATTGTTATTTTTCTCTTTTGTATCAGACTGTTTATCAGAATCAGCTTTTAAGTTGTTAGAAGAAATTAATTTTGCAGCCACTTTCGACATTTTAACATCATTTCGTAAACTCTTGTAATTCATTATTGTGCCTGAATTATTTGATGACATAATGGAAAGTTTTATAGGTTTACTTATTGTATGATTCAAACTAGCTTTGCTGAAGGTAATTGTTTTAGTATTTAACACATTTTCTTGTGATAAAAATTTTACTTTCACTTCTCCAAGATCCTTACCGTCTTGTGATCTTATTCTTAACTTTGTTACTTTACTAGGTGATGAGAAGTTTTCGCTTTTCAAAGTGTTGAAATTTTTCAATGTTACAGAGTTGTTAACAGCATTTGTTACATTTGGTACTTTCTGCACAACATTCTTCTTTTCCACAATTTTGCTTGGAAATTTGTGTGGTAAATTAAACTCCCGTTTACATTGTATTGTTGGTATACTAATATTCTGTGTGATCCGACGTCTTTTAGTTGTAGATATAGACTCCATTTAAACTGTTTTTCAAAGTTCTACAACTCAAAATATTGAGGTATAAATAAACATTTCAGTTTATAAGATTACACCATAAAATATGGTGCGTATAACCTATGCATCCGCATAAATATTACATTATTTTTCCCAGACTTCTCCAACGTTGTAAATAAGAGATAAAAATACCTTACAACTTCAAAATTGTAACATAATTATACACAAATTCATGTTCACAAATCGCAGACGAGAACAACCACATCCAAATTCGCAAAACGGGACATCCCTCTAACCCAACTTAACTGCCACCTACTACACGCTATGAAAACGTTTGTAATTTTGTAACCTACTTTCATTAATCACTGGATTAATCCCAAAGAAAGTAAATTTCTCATGAAACTTTTTAAGAATGAGTTTTTAAAAGAAATAAAGTCAAAAATAATTTAATGGTGAAAGATTTTAAATGTTTATAAATACATAACAAAATGAAACAAAATAGAAAAATGTTCTAACAATAAAATTGTAACTTTCTGATAACGAATTTAAATACATAATTGCACTGATACATAAAGGAAATTATGAGTTAATTTTTATTACGTATAAATTACAAATACGTAAATTATCGATCTCAAATTTAGAATGTTTGTTTGCAAAGATTATTTCCAATTTCAGTTGGCGACACTGATGGGAAGTTTTGCTTCCTTTTATTGTACCTGTTATAATTAAATTTATCATCGAAGTTTATATTCATAATAAAAGTACCGTGACAATTTATTATGTAAAAGAAAGTACTTTAGAAAGTCTCAGGAAACATAATGTGCCCAGAAAGTCGTGAAACATGACTTTTTATAATTTCCTAATATGCGTATTCGGACATACCCTTTTTGATTAGTTTACCCGTGCCATCGCTAGATGCCACCAGCAGTTCCGTTTCCGGAATGCGCACGAAAATATAAACTGCGAAAGACCAAATCAGAATGAGGCCGTCAAAGTAATTTCAGTTTTTTGCATTGCTTCGTGATAAACTAATATAATTTATATATTCTTTTTCAATTGCGAGAAAGCGACGATTTGCATAAACTTAATGCTGAATGTGTCAAATTACTTCTACCAAAATTTTATAAATATTGCTTCAGAATCAAAGCGTATAAAATGCTCAGTGGTTCATTAAGACTTATTTAAATTATTAATCATTGTCTAGCTGAAGCATAATGCATGATTTTTATTTCAGGTGTGCGCCACGTGTTTCGGAAGTGTTGCGCAAGAAGAGAGGGAATATGGCGAGAGAGGGAGAAAGAAATGGCATCGGTACTCGAATTCCATTCGTAGCATTGGCCGTAAATACCGAGTATTAGTGAGTGCCGCGTCAACCAGCGGCGTATACGTATGGAGTAAAGACGGACAGTTTGAAAAAGGCTCGTTCGTGCAATCATGGACGATCGCCGAAACAGCCGAGAAGTGATCACCATATTGTTTCTATGCCTGTTGTGGTATGGAATATCTTCGAGCAGCAACGTGGTGGGCAAGATGCTGCTCTCGGAGTTCCCTTATCCGATGACAGTAACTATGGTTCAGTTAACCTCGATCACCATCTATTCCGGCCCATTTTTCAATCTATGGGGAGTGCGAAAATATGCGTCCAATATATCCTGGGGATATTATTTACGGCTGATCGTGCCGCTCGCCCTGGGCAAATTTTTGGCGAATGTGTTCAGCCACGTCAGCATTTGGAAAGTGCCTGTCTCGTATGCTCATACTGGTATGAAATACTATTTTGACAGTCACGTGTACTGCGTGCGTACATTTCAAAAATAACACATTGCAACATTCACGCTAAGCGCGGGACGACAACTACTGTGCGCTGTCTGTTAATAATGTTAACGCTATGTTCGTGATAATGGTGCGATAACACTGTTAGATTACTTATGTATACGCTGATAACTGGAAAAAAACATTGTACTTTGCATAATGTTTATTTAGTAGACATGTGATAAAATTTCATATGATTTATATATATTCAGTTTTAATATATACTATATATTATCATTATTAATATCAGTTCTATAGATCTTTTAAGCTTTTATATTATTAAAAAAAATGTCAAATGCATCTAGTGAAATCTCAGATAATTAATATATGTTATAAATCATAATGGGAGACATTGATTTATCATCAACGTTGTGGTCTTAACAAGGAAGATTAAAAAAAATCAATCATTGATTAATGTTTCAACTTGATAAAAAATAATCTACTAATGAAGAAAATTAAAGACTTGAGATTTGATGAAAGATAATGAAATGATTGATTAGTAACAGTACTTATGATATGATACTGTACTTTATGAATTGTAGATCGAAGAACAGATTATTCATAGAATAATCTTTAAATAAATTTAAGTAATATCAGTTAATCGATATGCAGCTTTGATTGGATTATATAATGGTATTTAGCATTAAAAGTAGATTAAACATATGCTAGTTGTATACATTTTATTTTCAGTTTTAACATTCTCATATATTAACTAAAGTTTGGCTCTGTCCCAGTGAAGGCTACAATGCCCTTCTTTACGGTGTTGCTGTCAAGAATCATACTGAGAGAAAAGCAGACTTGGAAGGTGTATCTTAGCCTGGTCCCAATCGTCGTAGGTGTGGCTGTAGCCACATTGACAGAACTTAGCTTCAACATGATCGGTTTACTGAGTGCCTTAGCATCCACCATGGCATTCTCATTGCAAAATATTTATTCCAAGAAGGTACTAACACTAAATTGGAAAATGTTGTATACACATAAGCCCACAATGTTAATAATGTATTTGCTTTTAGGTGCTACACGACACAGGGATACATCACTTGAGGCTGCTACACATTTTGGGTCGCTTAGCATTGATTCTCTTTTCACCTATATGGTTGATATATGATTTAAGACGGTTGATGTACGACCCAACAACCCATGGGTCAGCGTATTTAAGTTATTATATACTAGGTTTGTTATTTTTGGACGGTGTATTGAACTGGTTTCAAAATATCATCGCGTTCTCGGTACTGTCCATCGTTACACCTTTAACTTATGCAGTAGCGAGTGCAAGCAAACGTATATTTGTAATCGCGGTAACTTTGCTGGTACTTGGCAATCCAGTGACCTGGGTGAACGTGTTTGGAATGACGCTAGCTATTATCGGCGTATTGTGCTATAACAAAGCCAAGTATGATCAAAGATTGGAGAAAGAGAGTCAAACAGCTCTTCCAAAGTATTATGACAAAAATCGTAATGGCGACACTAGTAGTTCCTTCATGATAAATGGATGGACTGGAAATAAGCAACATTTGTACGCGGTCTAGTCTGAATTGTTAGACTTGTTTTTCATTTGACAAGTTCGTATGAGTTTTCTTTGCCAGAACATGACGTTCCAGTCATGGCAGTGTTATTGGTTTATTTATATTTAAATAGAAGAGAGAATTAGCGCGTTCATTCGAACGTTGTAATACAGATCGAGACTCATATGATGATAAAAGTATTTATATATATACACACACACACTCACACAGACATGCATACATGTTTTATTAACATTAAATATGCTGCACAAACATGTAATTCGCTTAGTACTTGATTTCGGTATTTTATCTTGTTTGATGTTTTAACATAGCTTACTTTATATTTTAACACGAATAGACTTGCTGGCAAGATAGGATTGTATAATTCGCGAAATCGTTAACGTTACAAGCTAATTGCTGGGTCAGTTAGCGCCGAGATCGATAACATTCCTGCACACAACAAAAGGTGGACAGATCAAAATTCAGTTTTAGTCGTCGCGTGTATTCATATATGGTTGTGCATGCGATATTGAGCGGTATTCATACATTATCGATTATGTCTTAAATGATAAATTTCTTTGAATCGTTAGTACGTTGCCATGAAAAGAAAACTCACGCTGGAGACGCGTGAAGCTCAAGTGACACGATTCTATTTCATGAGCTCTTTAGGTTGTTATCAGAGAAGCGTGATATTTTAATCCTCTGTGAAGGTTCATTTTAATACGTTTAGCGATTACGATTGTCAAAACAACTTTTTATTCCCAATTGTCAGTTCTTTTATGTTCTGTATATTCATAGGCGTGTACAAAACGAACGAGATTTTAAAACTTTAAAATGTAAGAATTAGTTTAATTCATGGAGGTTTAACGTATCATATTAATATTTTACAGGCGTGTGCTCGGTTGTGGTGTGTGTGGACTGTATGTAGGAGAAGATGTTTTAGCTAAAAGCAATCTATACATTTATTTTTATAAATAAAATACAGGTGTGTACAAAAATATACCAGATATGTTCACCGGTCGTTTCGCCACGACTCACCACCGATATTCGAATCTCCTGTCCTACAGAGTTTTTATGATGTTCGGAGGAGACATTGGTCTAGCTATGGTCAGGTCTAAACGCGGACCAGCTGCAGCGATTAATGGAACAGCCAAACAACAATCGCAGTCTTCTGTGCTGGCCTCGTTTACCCGCAGAATTCTGTCGTACGGTCTTAGAATACCGTCGCACGGACCTCCCGGTCGTAGACGATTTATGTATACTCCACGTTCGTACAACCCATCCGACACCGAGAACCCAAAGTCCTCGTACACTGGATCCTTGTGCAGCGACACGTGGACAATCTGCTGAGGTCTGTCCGAACTGCTGCATTCCTGTGGCCTAAGTGATACAGATTAATTAGGAATTAAAAGATCAATGAGTCTAGTATGTAAACGTTCTTTGTATTTTCTTTCACAAAATTGGGTCATCTCTAATTTGTACACAGTTAGAACTTAAGCTCGTATGAAAGTAAATTGTTATATTTTTTTTTCTAAAATGAATATTGTATAAGTTTGACGCATTCTTTTATTTACCCAGGGTAAGGAGGCATAGGTAGATCCAGTTGACCGCTATCCACAGAAGCTGTGTCCCAAAGTCTAAGAATTTCTGGACCCGTCCCACTGTTCTCTCCTAACTCACCCCAAGAGTCCACCGCACTGTCTACGCTTGGTAAACTCTCTCTTGCTGGCCGTAGAATCCCTGAAGGGTATTGTTGAACCGTGTCACTTCCTATGCTGGAGTCCCTGCAATATTCTTTGTAAAAATCCATCTCTTTTCTGTTAACCGATTAATCCTCCAGTACTCTAATCATGTTCTTACTGTTACTAACGCAAACCTTCCACTATAAAATTAAAAATACAATCACATTTTAAAATAAAAGTACTGAAGGATTAAAGCAGGCGTTCGCTTTGAGTGATGAAACTTATGGATTACCTAGTTTCTGATGCGGGGTCCGGTTTCCTGACGGTCAAAGCAACGACCGAGCTTCCAGGTCGATGCAGCAACTGTGCCGCTTGCCTGAGGTCGCCTGGATCCAGTTTTTGTCCGTCTATCGCCAGTAGTCTATCTCTAGGCGCAAGACTGCCGGTTCTATAAGCTAACGACCCTTTCCGGACTTCGGTGATGATCAAATCCTCGTTCACCGTTAGACCCACGTCCGGCTGACCACCTACTGGTCTCGCTACTCTTACGGTAAACACTCCTGAGCTCGGTACAACTGGGCCGCCCACTTTGTACTCTGTTACCAGTTCAATCTGTCAATGCAATAAGATGCTGTCTCAATAAGAGTATCTTGAAACTATGTGGACAAACAAAATACAAAAGGAGTATTTCACCATTTGCGAGGTTTCGAGGATGCTAGTGACCTCGGCCGGCTGCATGTCTCTGAGCATCCTGCGATTGATGGCGAGCACCTTATCACCAGGCAGAAGAACTCCGCTGCGCTCTGCAGGGCCCCCAGCCTCCAGCAAGCTGACCACATAGTTCAAACGATCTTCCGCAGGCTTCAGAGCCAGGCCGAACCCTTTGTGATCTGGTCTGAGCACGATGGTCAAGCTCTCCTTCGTCTGAAGGGTTTGGCTGGAGGTCTGTTGGGCCTGCGGTTGCGCCCTCCTTTTCACAGTCCTCTGGGAGGTGCTCGGTGGCCTGGGTAAGATCTGCAGTCTGGCGATGCGGCAAGTATCGAAGTTGTTCCTGAGCAATTTAGCCGCTGTTACGGCGTCCTGAACGGGCGTCTCGTCCACGGCTAGAAGCTTGTCTCCCGGCTGCAGGGCGCCACAACGATCCGCTGTGCTGGCTGGTCGGAGACTCTCGATGTAGACGCCGTTCGGTGTCTCTCTGACCGTCAGTCCTAGCTCTCCTATAATCAGACCGTACTTTGTAAACTTAGAGAAGTTTAACTAAACAGTACAGGGTTCAACTAAGTCAGGATTAAACAAGATATTACCCGAAAGACCCCGTTCAAGCTGCACCAAAAGCGGACCAGAAGTGGCGGCTCGCGCCTCCTCCATGTTAGCGACGTCGTACTCGATAGTCAAGGAAGCAACAGGGGCGTCCGAGCTCCTCCTGAGCGCTCTTTGAGCCTCCGCCAAGGTCAGACCCCTCAGTTCAGTGTCGTCTACCGCTAATAACCTGTCTCCCGGCCTAACTCTTCCCTCTTTTGCCGCAGGTCCATCCGCTTTCACTCCGGTGACCACCAGAGCCCTCGACACTCCTCCTCTGAGGGTGACTCCTAGACTGCCGCCTTCACGTTCCACTCTGACCTGGGCGACCTTCGAGGACACGCTCGAGGGAGTCGACACGGGACTGTCTTGGTCATCCAACAGTAGGAAACTGTGCGGATGGTAGGATTGAGACGTGATTTCGTCCGCTCTGGCCGAATCGGAACTCGCTGAGGTAGCTACACTTCCAGGTCTGGCACGATTCTTGTGCGAGCGCATAGTGGTCAGTCTCAACGAACTAAACATCCTCGACGTCTGTCTTTGGGGATTTTACCGACTGTCACTGTTTTTTGTAGGGTCGATTAACATCGCTGATGAGACACGTCTACCTTGTGTGCTGCACTTGATTAACTAGCTAAGGGTTAAGATAAAAGATGTACACCGAATGCCCGGAGTATTTGATCAATTACCACTGTTTTTCGTTGAACTAGCCATCGCTGATTCACACCTTACTTCATCGCACTTCGCGCTCAGTTAGGAGTTAAGGACCGAGGTGTAAAGTATTTTGGTACCTCGTAGCTTCGAAGACGCTTAAGTCCTGCAAGAAGGCGAAGATGGTGTCCATTTGAACTGTGAACGGCGTTGACCGAGACTGATATTTATTTTAAGAGTCTTATTTTTTCGCTCGGAATATTCCCCCGATGTTTGTCCACGATTTATTTCAAGAGCTGGAACGCGAGATTTCTATTCGGTAACCGTTGATTCAGCCGGACTATAACGATTAACCAATGGCGTACGCGCTTACAGCCGGTGTATCCTGTTTTCAGAACGATCCAGAGGTCGAACAGGAGCAGCAGGTCGCCGAAGACGGGGCACGATCGATCTCTTGTTGCTCGCGGTGTAAACACGTCGGTGTCTTTGTTTGACGACCGGAGCTAGCCAGAAGTTGTAGCTGGACGAAACTCGTTGGAACTGAGCGGAGGACTGTAACGAGTGGCGATGCCTGTCGAAAATAACTCGTCGATGTAGGGCCGCATCTTGCCGCGCGGATGATCTATTTATACGCGGCGACACCCTCGCACCGTGCACAACGCGTAATCCAGCCGCGGCCCTGCAGGCGCCCCGCAGTCGCTGTACCGTCAAATAAGTCTGCACTTCTCGTTAAAAGCTTAGATTTCGAGTGTAAGCCCGTCAGCTCGAGCCTACGTCGACCGTTTGAAAGCGTCTGAACCGCGGTGCGCTTAATTTAACGGGGATCTCTCTCTTTTATTTTTAGTACGCGATATCGCCAACGTCGAACAGACGTTTCTGATACCTAGAAGTCCTCGTTTAAACGCCACTACGGTGACCAGCAACTTTCATACCATTCAGATCCATAGATTTTCTTTACGCTGCCCTTTGCGCTCGAGAGCTGACTCTCAGTCACCATTTTGTTTAATACAATAATTTGAAATAAGCATTTTTTAAACGATTCTATAATATGATACTTGAGATGTATAAACAATAGTGAGAATTGTTGGTAGAGAAATAATAATCTTATAAGAATTCATTTAACTTTTTAAATAAGTTTTAAAGTTGCTGTTTGCAAAGGGTTAAAACATGCTACAGATAGACTACATATTGTATTTGGACTTCTGAATACGTTCTAGGTCTTTGGAACTTTATAGCATGACTAAGAGTATGTTTGTAGGGCAAGTTTTGCAAGACATTCTTTTATACCAATCATTGTACTAAAGTTCATGATAAGATATTCTTAGATGCGAAAGTAGGACCAAAGATGCCCTAAATGAAACAGTGATTGGAGGAGAGTAAATGAAAGACAGAGTACACGTAGAAAATATTTAATACAGAATCGCTACACTTAAAAACTACTCGATCTTCGAAGAGACTACTCAGAAGAGAATAGATAAAAAATCTATTTGTAATAGTATAGTGAAGCAACGGAAAGCAAAAAGACGCGGAATCAGGGTCCATTGACCGATCCTCTCGAGCAGTCGGTTTTTGCAACCTCTTCCTACAACTTCTCTCTCTAAATCTTTCTTCGCTTCAATTTCCAGCTGTTTAGCTTCTCGATTCAGTTTCCCGCTCTCTTCCGCCGATTGATTTGATCTCCGTTTCGCAGAAACGGTGGCGAGCACCTTTTATCATTTTTCCTCCTTTGATCTTGCGTTCGTGTTTAACATGTGCTTTTAGTTTTATTGTAGACCAATGTTTTGGAAATTAATTTGAAGACAGTCTTTGTCTCAGACATTCTAGAGATGCGGCCATTTACCAAGCGTGTCGGAATGATTCAATTAAATCAATTAGACAAGTTAATCGGTTCATTAACCGCTTTTATCTCTTTCCGTGTTGAGGCGTTTTTACTCTGGTTCTTCCGTAGCTTGTAACAGGGTCTAACAGACCTGATCTCAGGGTCGTACAATGTAAAAAATTCGGTCTTTAATTTTTATCAAATTTTATTGACAAAGATTGCTTTAATTGTGCTCTCTTTTTCAGGTTTTAATGATGTCAGTTAACTTTGAGCTTCCTTCAACTGCAAAGGTATTCAGTTCTTAGCTAGTTATGATTTTATTTGAAACATATTATTAAGAATCTCGAATGACAGCAACTAAAAATTAGCTACTATTCCAGAGAGTCACCTGGACAGCAGATATATGACAACTTTCGAACCTGCACTTTGAAACTAGCAAACGTGGTGGTTTGCCAATTCCACTGCGTGCTAAAGTTAGCGTACAGTCAGCGCGGAGGCAAGTGTGAGGAAGAAGGAACGGAAGAAAACGGACAGAGGGGCGAGCGAGACGCTGAGAGTAGATGGAAATAGAAAGAGAAGGAATTAAGAAAAGACGATAAAAAAGAGAAAAACGGGTCAGGAGATGGAAGGTGTAAGGCGAACGGAAGAAAGTCGAGTAAAAAGAAAAGAAAGACCGATCATCAGGGGGTAAAAAAGGGCCGGAAGAGCGGGAGGTTTGATCTGCGGGTAGAAAACGCTCGAGACGGTGTCTATCTCTGCCAAAATAATGAGCCACTTCGTGTATTAATAACCTGGACGGTGTAACGCTAGACGTTTAGAATAAACGCGGGAATATCGAGTAGTTACGCGTCTTTGAGATTGAACTCGAGCGTCTTCCGGTTTCTTTGGTCGCGCCGTTTTCTCGCTGGAACACAATATCCATACTGGCTATCATTTGGAATAATTCATCTAGCCTGTTGTCCATTTTATTTATTTGAAACATCATTGTACAGCCAGCGTCAGGATTCTCATCTCGCGACACCTGGTCGAAGAAAAGGGCTTAAAAAAACGAGGGAAAATACAGAGTATGACCAATCGCACCTAAAGTCGAACGAGAAGGCACGCTGGAATCTCGTTCATTCCACGGAAGACTAATCTAAGTGTTCTATCGATGCAGCGTGGCCTTCGTTTTATAAAAACCTAGTAATCGCTGGAAGCCTGACTCGGGACGGCTGATCAGGAACATCGGTGGATCCCGTAGAGCTTCTCCTTGCCATCTTTCCGAATCTCGATCGTTCCAGAAGACTCGTCAGCTCGATTCCCCTCGGAACAAGGGTACCCCCTTTTCCGTAGCTCTCAGACTACGGTACCATGAGTACCGTCATTGTAACAGAGCGTTGACGATCAACGCGAAGCTGAAGTTGGACTGCCGCTTGTCCCTACTAGCTCGTTCAGTCTGTTGCGTTTGGATTCGTGTAGGAGAATCCACGGAAGACACCCTGGTCCATCGAGGTCAGGATCTGCTCAGGTACCGGGGTCAATCGTGGCCTTTCTGCTGTGAAAGCCGTGTCGAAGTACTTGGTGTCTAGAGTGTGGTCTAGGGCTGGCCTGAACGGTGGCTCTAGCTGCCTCCTTTCTAGTCGATCCCACGGCAGTGACTGGAGAATTCAATACGTTTGTTAATTCAAGAACAATTAGCAACACTTGATGCATATGGAATGGTCCACTGCAGTACATTATTAAATTTGCCAGAAGTATGGAAAATTCGAGAGCCTTCAAGCTGAAGAAACAATATCTAATTTTATAAAAATACTAGACATACAAATATTTTTTTTCCATTTAACTTCATGCTGATAAGTAAGAAAAATTGTGTTAACGCCACGTTAAGTGGAATGCAGTCGACCATTGTGTACAGGGAACTAAAATGTTTGTACTTGAAAGAAGGAGTGCAACGCGATCTCGTGTCCAGGTAGCCTCTTCCCTGAATCCTTTTCTAGAAGACAGATCAGTATGTCTGCGGCTTCTTGGCTCAGGTAGCGCGGTATGAACGGTCTTTCGTTACATATACTCCAAAATAGCTCGTCCTCGTCGCAGCCGGAGAATGGCGACTGTCCCGTGAGCATCTCGTACAGAAGCACGCCGTACGACCACCAATCCACCGCCTGATTGTATTTTAGTCCCTTTATGATCTGCAATGCGGAAACGATACCCGGTTAACCAAAAGAGACCAACGGACGCTGTCTTTAGAAACGGCTTTGACACCTTTGAAGCTGTTACATTTAGATCTTTGATCACTTTTAATTAGGAGAAGATTTCTTTGAAAAGGTAACGTTTGTAATAATCAGTTGAGACCAATCTAAATTTCCTCTTTTACCTCAGGAGCCATATAATCAGGAGTGCCACAGAAGGTGTCGGCGGTTCTGTCGAGGAAGATCTGCAGCTTGCACATGCCAAAATCAGCTATTCTGATATGACCCTCAAAGTCCAACAACACATTGTCCAGCTTCAAGTCTCTGTACACTATACCCTTCTTGTGCAAGAAATTTAATCCAGACCAGATCTCAGCGGCGTAGAAGCGAGCCCTGGACTCCGCGAAGCGGCCAGATTTCTGAATGTGAAACATTAAGTCACCGCCGTTCAGGTACTCCATCACGAAGAACAGGTGAGAGTCCGTTTGGAAGGTGCAGAACAGATGGCAGAGGTAGGGATGCCTGGTAGCCAGGGTCAGCACTTTCCTCTCGATCAGGGTGCACTCTACGTCATCGTCCTCTAACACCACGTCTTTCTTCAGGCATTTCACGGCATACACGCACTCCGTGCCACGCAGCTCGGCCAACAGCACCTTGCCAAAACTGCCTTTTCCTAGGACCTGGATGAAAACAACGAATCAGAAATGTTTCAGATGCAACGAATGCTACAGATTTCTTTTAAATAAAACAAAGGTAAAGACAGATCGTTTAGACTTAAAATTTAAAGATACAAATGTGTGATTCAGACTCAAGTCTCAGCTTATAAAGATTGTCTTTATTTTTTAGGTATCAGGCTTGCCAGATGAGCAACTCTTGAAGATGAACGCGTTTTAAATTCAATCAAAGTTCATTAACGAGGGAAAATTTGAAAGAGTTAAAACGGCACACGGTAGAAAGTTCAAGCGTCTAAAGCGAGAGTGCCGCACGTGAGAGTAGCTGAACTCCGTTAAAAATAATGCATTGCTTGCAGCTAATTCGGGTGAATCTATTTGCGTGGTCCTCCGCAAAATCGTTTTAATCGTTCCTGCGAATAAATTCGGCCGATAGAAAAACAAACGACGATCAAAGGCTCTCCCTTTACTTATCGCTAGGTTACTGGGACGCGGGGATGAGTAAACAAAGTATCATTTTTGGCATTGTCACCACGCCAATGTGATCGTAAACTTGAAAATCGAACGCTTACACCTCGTACTCTGGATGATTCGAAGGCTCGTGAATCAAGTCGGGTTCACGTGATGTAAATACACACGTGATCCAGATTGGTTTCCGCCGAGCTGCGAGCCAACGTGGCTCATAAATTTCTCGGAAACTATATTTACAGGTAGTTGTGGGCCGATAATCGAAATCGCTCGTATCACTTCAACTTGCAATATTTCGAGTTCTTCAATTTCTGATCATACACATTTGAGTCTTATAAACTTAAATATACATTTAGATAAGGTCATTAAATTCTTGTATAAATATTCTTTCTTGTATTACAGAAAGTTGATGACGTTAAATACTAAGGAAATATGGTGTATCAGCGGATCTTGCTAAGGATACCACCATTTTAAATAAACAATTTGGTAAGAGTTCCATTTTCAAGGTTTCCACAAACTGTTTAGAATCTAAGCTATCTTGTTATTTCAGATATACCCTGAAGCGGCATAAATTTTCAATAGAGGAAAGGAAGCAGACTTCGCGAAATTCTATTGTTTCAAATAATTCAAGCGAACAAGGCCTTGGCAAATATTTCTATGTCGTATCGAGTTAAACACGTCCTTGCTAAAAACCGCCAACGAGCTACAGTGACCAGCCGTTTCGACTTACTTTCAGAAAATTAAAGTCCGTCACGGCGTACTTCTTAAATCTTGGCAGGTTAGTCGCTGGCGGCGTTATTCGCCCGCTGGGGAAGTGGTCCGACGAATCCGAGTTCCTCTGGGTGTCCGACGACTGCGAGGGTGCTGGAGATTTCAAAAATCACATTTTAATCGACCCTTCATGCACTTTGAGATTTGGGGAAAACGTTGCTGTTAATAGCATTATAATAGCTGCCTCGAATGTTAATCTTGAAATAATTACAGGGGACCTTCGTGTGGATACTTGAGAGTTTAGTAATTTGTCTGGACTTTATAGAAATTTGAGAACTGAGGAGCAGGAGGTTTAGAAATTTTATGAATGTGGAATATGGAAATTTGGTATCAGTTTGATTCCAATCCTCCGCCAATGTTTTGAAGCCAAGGCAAGTTAAATAAGATAAAATGTTCGCTTCGATTAATAAGCACATTAATTGCCGATTTACCTCTGGCAGGCAAACACGCTGGATCTTGGCTGGCTAAGATTTTTCGAAAATAGAGTTCTCTGACGCGAGATGAAGTTGTAATTGATCGATTAGGCAGAAAGATTACGGCGTATGCGGGACCGATTTAACGATGATTTTTGATCTGGACCGCGGTATCGTCCATTGGCCACGAAAATTATTTAGTAACCGCAGAAAATGGATTTATGATTGCCACGTGGAATTTTGACGAAGCAATGAAGCCAGCCAAGTCTGTCTAGACGGCCAAAAACTTGGAATCAAATTCGTGAAATACGGCGAGTTAATTCGAGCAGAAAAAAGTAAACAGCACTGGACAAGATATACATATTTTTCTGCAACCTTGTTGTTATAAATGCAAAGTGACGCAAGATGGTTTCTTCGATAAATTGATAGTCTGACGACAATGCGTGTGAGCAAGTATTCTTTCGGAATAAAACTCACCCCTCTTGAGCGCTTGTAAAGCTTCTGCCACGAGTTTTTGATTCAATCCACAAAGATTGCCAGTCAGTTTCTCGCATTTCTTGTGGCAAGCCATGTCACAATCTGTTTTCAAATGTTTTGCAAGTTGATGCATTTTTTACTGTTCTGTTCTTACCGCTAAGTACCTTTGATGCACCTTGTACTCAGACTATGACTACTTTCAACACTGTATTTTATAAAGTCACAGATTGCAAAAAATGCAACGACTGGACAAATTTTTTAATTAACATATTTTTTACTAAAGATACCGATTCAGTTCGAGAACAGACTGTCCTCGTGCTTTTCTCTCTACTGATACCCGATGAACCAGCTAAATTTATCTCGAAACTTTTGTTTGCGAGTACGGCCACTCGTGGCTGCATTATGATACCTAGAATATTATTATGAAACCGCGTAGCACGTTATAAATAGGAGCACCAAGTCCGCGAATCAGTTTGAAGCTAACGTACAGAAGAATCAATTAATCATTGCTGATACGCTGATCGTAATCTCGTCGTTACTCAAGGTTGTATAACGAATTAATTTCTTTGCAGGGAGCAATGAGAACCTCTGATGTACTACTTCCTGAAGTGTCTTGTGATGTGGTGTCATTGACCCTGTGATAGTGACCTTATATAATATGCAACTGGCGTCGCATGTGCACCTGATACTTTTGAGGGTACCGAGGTGACAGCTGAATCGTTTTCTAATATTCTGGCAGGCCGTGAAAGAGCTATGCCAAAGATCCTTGACCATAGACATTGCGACTGTTGCCACCATATGAATATGGTTAGGTCATTATGAAGGTTAGTATTGTCACCTCAGGACTTGATAAATTGAGGAATTTATAAAGGGACAAAGATTCTAAGTGTACGATTTTAATTTCAGAGTATCGAAGAACTCCCCCTACTGGGTCTAATCCAACCTACATCGTACTTTTTGCTTCAGTGAAAATTGCCCGATGAATTGATTTACTCATAGGTATTCTGGCTGACTTAGAATCACGAGATTTCGTTGGACGGATTCCAACAGAAACATTTTTTCTTCTCGGAATACACCAGAATTTGTTGAACACCGAGAGTGAATTACGGTGGTACATGTTTTGTTTCTACCGAAATTACGCATAACCCAATGTCAGTTTCAATATTACTAACTTGTATTGATGTTTCAGGACCAACAAACAAATATGCAACTTCAAACAAATACCAAGGCATATCTTTTGAAGCCAAATTGTGACGCAGAAAAAAGTAAGAATGTAAGCCCACACGTTAGTGAAACAAAAGCTTGTTAGCTATATTAGGTACACACAAATTTTATACTCTGATGTTCATTATCGAGCCGCCAATCTGAACCAAACTAAAATGCCAAGATTCATCGAAGCGGCGAATACATCATCGTTTACAATCACCGCCCACGCCCGATGAGGCGATAAATTTTCACGGATTTAGTAAACTTCCTGGCAGATCGGTTAAACAGAGGTCAAGAGTCCTGAAGCAAGACAAATGCAACAAGCAGAGTGTCGGAATTATGCAACACGTTAGGGTGGGCGAGTAGGGAGGGGCAAAGGACCGGTGTACACCGAGAGTAAGCAATCCAAAAATACTGCAGAAACATGTACTCGATATCCTCGGCGAGCCGTCGAAGCCGGAGTCGTTGCTCCTCGTAGAGTTCATCCTCTTGTGCTCCGGATCGTCGTCGAGTTCCGCGCAGGTGGATCCACTGCTTTCCGTGGTGGCTGTGCTGGTTGTGCTTCCGGTACTGTCGCTGCTCATGGACGGCGTTCTCGAGTGATGTTTCTTCCTCTTGATCTTGGCTCGACGAACCTTGGAGAGGTCCCTGGGCGTCGCGGTCAGCAGCGCCATGGGTGTCGTGTAGAACATCCTGATGAGGTCGATCGGTCGTGCGGCGGGCGAGTTCTTGGGGCTGGTCTTAGCGACGGGCTCCGACGGCTTCAGGTTGTCCTGCGTCTTGGACGAGGCCTTCTTCGACCTTTTACTCTCCTTCGGCGTCTCTTTCTTTGTGGAGCTCTTCTTCGTGGAGCTCTTGGTCGTCGAAGACTTCTTCTTTCTGACTATCTTTTTCTTTTTAGACGAGTCGGGGCTGTTCTCCGGACTACACGCGACACTGGCGTCCTTGGAGGGAACAGGAGTAACGTCCGCTTGGTCCACGTTGGACAGGTCGTTGTGGTTGTTCCACTTGGAGATCTTAGGAAGGTCGTCGTCTTGCCACTCGTTGGTCGGCGTCTTGGGCTCGTCTTCGTCCTCCAAGATCTGGGATCCGGCTCTGGTCGGCGTCGCCGTGGGCGTCGGGGTGTCGACGACGTTTATTATCGGCACGGGAATCTCCGACACCGGCGTCGAGACTTCAGAAACGGGCACCGAGGTATCCGGCGTGCTGGTCACAGACTTTGCGGAAATAGTCGAAGCCGTCGAATCTTCGCGGTTCAAAGGAGTCTTCGCGGTCTCCTTTGGTGCAGAATTGATGGCCAGAGACAGGTTCTTCTTTTTGAGCCCCTTCTTCGGTGTTCCGGTATCTTTTTCCGGCTCCGGCTTCTCCGTGGCAATTGGAGACGCTTCGCAGCTCGGTATTCTCTGCTCTGCGTTGAGTTTCGACGACTCCTCCTCGGCCTTCCTCTCCTCCTCGATTACGGGGATATTACTGAGCCCGTGCAGCGGTGCAGCGACGTTTATTTTAGGAGCAGTCTCTTTTTTCTTGTCCAGTTGTTTGCCAATGGGGTCCTCGACCGCCTGACGTGGCTCTGCATTCTTGGAACCAGCGAAACTGAACTCCCTGTTAACTACCTTCGCCACTTTAGGACTGTCCGGACCTTTGATCTCGCTCCAGAAGTCTATGGACTCGGATGACGTACTCTTCGACAATGTTCCACTCTCTCCGTTCAAACTCTCGTAGGATTTTAACAAGTGCTGTTTGTCCGTAGGCATCTTGTTGATCAAACTCTCGTCCACGGAAGTGGACTGTTTCAAAGACTTGGAATCCTCCGCATGAACACTGGGTTGAACGTCGACGCTGACGCTTCTGTTCAAAGGTGCACTATCACCAGGTGCAGCCTTGGTCACCTTGTTCCTCCACGGGATCTTCGATTCCTTAGCCTGCGCTTCAGTCTTGGAGGTATTTTGTAAATTGTCCTTTAATATCGACTTTTTGTTACTTTCAGTCTTTGTTCGTTTCCAGGAATCCTCCTCCTTCTTCGAGGTCACTTTGACTGGGATTTTTGAACTCTCTTCGTCACCTGTTTTTTGGAGCTTCTCCAGGCTGGACTGCTTCGCCTTGCTGCCCTTAACATCCTCTACCAACGCTTTTTTCTCAGCACTTCCTGAATTTTTCTTCTGCGCCTCGCTCTTTGTACCGTCTAACAAGGTCGTCTTTGTCACGAGCTTCGTGGTTGCATCATCGATGACGGTATTTTCTAATCGATCCTCTCTGTTCGATGGTTTTAGTTGGTCCGAATTGATCGGTGCACCAGAGGCATTCGACGTGGAGACGCTCGTCAAGGTCACGGCTTTGTCCACCTTCTTTCCCGGTAACGGATAAGCAACGTCCTCGTCACGCTCGATTTTCGTCGGCTTTGCCAGGTACTCCGCCTCTCGTAACGAACGCTTTGGCGCTTCTACGGCATTATTTTCATCCGTATTAATTTTAGACGCTTTTGGCAGCCTGTCCGCGGCCGATGGAAGCGCTGCACTGGCGCTGTTTTCATTCGCCAACGGGTCAACACCTAATACCGTGTTCTCTTCGACCACTTTCGAGACCTCTTCGCCGGGTTTTCCAGTTGTGGACGGTTCTTTCTTCGACGTTGGAGCATCTGGAGACTTGGGAGACTCGGGTACCTTCTTCTCCAGTGGTCCAGTTTTGTTAAATTTAGAAATCACAGGACTTTTCGAAGATTCCTTCTTCAACGTAGGACTGAGGGGAGACTTAGGTGATTCGGGAACCTCCTTGGGTAGGTCAGTGTTCTTCAACTTGGGGATTACGAAACCTTTCTTCTCTTCTTTCTTTAACGTGGGTGTAGTAGGAGATTTGGGCGACTCGGGAACCTCCTTCTTTAATGGGTCAGTATTCTTCAATTTAGGACTTTCAAAACCCTTTTGAGTCTTTTCTTTCTTCAGCGTGGTAGCGTCAGGACTCTTAGGAGTGAAGCTCTTTTTCGTGTCTTCTTTCTCCGACTTTGAGGGAACAATGTCTTCTTTTTTCTCTAAAATATTTTCATTTCTGAAAGGCTCTTTCTCTTGTTTAGGTTCTACTCCGTTCTCCGTGGGTCTGAGCTCCTTCAAAGGATCCTTCAGCTTCTCAGGCGGTGTCCTCACAGTGAAGTGCACGCTGTTCCTCGAGGTATCCTTCACGTACGGTCTCTTCACAGGTAACACAACTTCAGTTTCCGACTCTTCGTCCACGCTTTCCCTGCCAATCTTACGAATCCCCATTTTTCTAGGCACAGGAATTCTCACGCTCTCACGGAACTGTTCCACGATCACGTTGCCGGCATCGCCACTGTTCACCCAAATGGTCGAGAAGTCGCCGACACTGTTACTAGCTTCGACCTTGAACATCTGGGGTTTCTTGTGCTTGCGCGTTTCCTTGTCGCTCTTTTCGTCCGTTTGTAGCTCTACAGAGACGTCGCTGGAGGTGCTCGACCTTCGTACTCTTGATTTATCCTCGTCGTCAGGCGGCGAAGGTTTCTCGGTCGTTTTCTTCTTTTTTTTAAGCTTCTTCAGCGTCTTTCTCATCTTCTGCGCGGCGGCTTCCTCCTCTCCCTGAGACGCGGAGTCCCCGTCCACGTTCCTGAAGAAGCCAGGAACGGTTCTAGGTCCTCCGGTATTGCTTTTTTTTATCAGAGTCCCTCTACGAACCTCGTTCTCGATCTCGGCTTGTTCCTCCGCCACCAAAGTGTCCAGCACTTTAGCCTGCACCTGAGCATAGGCAACCTCTCTCTCCAACTGTTCGGGATCTAATTGAATGTCCGCGGAGGACCTCCTTCTCGTGAATCGTCTGGTTATCTTGTTCTTCATTTGCTGCAGCTCCTCGTCGTCCTCGCCGCGGTCCAAACTGACCTGGTGGATCAGGTGCAGACCTTTCTCTGCCTCTTCCAGCTTTTTATCCTTGATCAAGAACTTCTCGACCAACAACTCGCCCACCGATTTCTCGTGTCGTTCGTTGTGCTCGCGTAGAGCCGGGTTATCCTTCAGAGCTTGTGACCTGATCTTGATAGTCGGTCGATCGCGGCGCAGCCGATTCCTCCGGTTCCCATCTTGAGAATGGATAGTTCTTGGCGTAGAAACGTCGATGTCCGCGGTGTCGATCACGCGTCGGGGTCGGGTAGGCACCGAAACGGGGGAGTAACGACGCAGGGTAGACAACGGTGACTCGGAGATCGTCGATAGATGGGGAGAGAACCGCGACAACGGTGTGTGAAAGGCGCTACGCGAACATTTCAATTAAATTCTTGCTGAACGAATTGGAGGCTTCTCTGGTAAAGTCTTCAAATTATTTACCTATGATCTTCAGATGATTTACCGATTCTTGTTTACAGGGTGGCTTGACGATGATTTGAGAACACTATTTGGAATTTTATAACAACGATACAAAGAACTTAAGAAAATCATCGACGTACAAAGAAGAGAAAATTTAAGGATTTTATCTACATTCCACGATTTAAAGATTCACAAATATGCTTGTGTAAGTAAACCGATTTGAAATTTGCGAGCTTGCAAAAGCAAACCAATTCTTGCGTAAACAAACTTTTAAGAGAAATACGTATTCTTTTTATCGGTGATTGACACGACTATCAACAAATTCTCTTTTTGTTAGAATTATCAGAATCATTGTCCGACTGTCATTGCAGGTGGCGAGAGACAAAAGGATGAAACGTGCACGGTCATTGTTTGGGTCGTTGTGTAACCTCTGAAGAGTTCACAGGCGACTCAGCAAATTCTGTGACGTACATTGAATCGAGCACGACTTGATAAGCTTCCGTTTCAATGCCAGATGCTTGTTCTCGTGGTGTATTACGTTACCGAAGGGAAGCGCATAGCGAACACTTGTTACACGTATTGCTGAACTCGTTGCCTATTGATTTGGCTCGCGAGTCGTCACGAATGATTGACATGTTTCGATTCATGAATCAATAGCGCATCTGCCTCTTTATACGATGACGAACAAGTGGTAATTGGGCACACGTGTAGCGAGTACATAATCGTAGCAAAACAGTCATAAATCATGGTATCAGAGTTGTCAAGATGCCTCGTTACATTAACAGATTTGCATACATTATTGCTGTACAAAAAGGCCACCTGCACTGTGATATGTTTTGAAACACAGTGAACAAGTTGCTATTTTTAATTAGCTACACTTCAATTTGTAAAAGCAATCGAGTTTAATTTTGAAACAGGAGCTGTTTGCTCATGTTAAGATACCTCGAATTATATTTCTGAAGGAAGGTTTTAAGACGACCTCAAAATTATGATAGGTAACGCTGCTTGTACTCTATAATTTATCCTGTATGTTCCGTAAATGATGGCATCAATCTTTTCAGCTCGTTGAAAGTTACAACGTAATTGCGGAGTTTAGCAGAGGATTTTTTGGCAGTGCAACAAGTAACGTACACGGGAGAGTTTTATCACGTGGAGAACGTACGTCCAGATACTATTTTTACACCGATATTCTCGACGAGCCATCCATTTCGTGTAACGCTTATGATTTATCCGAAATCTCTACTATCAATTAATCGTCGCTAATGAGTTACTGGTTTGACGAATCGTATGTCATATTCGTGGCTTGCCAAAAATCTTGAATAACGTTCTAGAAAGCTATTCTAATTGCCGAGAACCGTGCACGTTCTCGCCTGTTGCAACTCGGGTTTTACTTGTCTTTGAACCGTCTACGAGGAAAAAACATTTCTATTTTCGTTGCCGTAGTTCTTTGTTGCCCGCAGACGTATTCACGTAACTAACCACCAGAGAAGCCTCCTACAATGTCGAACGTCATTTCGCGACCAAGAATAATGTAAAGGACGAGGGGAAAGTGAAGAGAAGAAAGTGATGTTCCTTATAATATCTCTGTATGAATTAAAATAAAATGGAGACAGTAAAATGATTTTGTCAGAGATTCTATCTTGATGGAAAAAGAATATGTATAGTTTTTTATCAAAGAAGATGTATCTCTCTCTGAAGAAATTGTTCAGAACAATTACTGAAAACATCCTGATTATTTTAAGCAGTGCTCTGATTGTTTTGAGCAGCGTCACTTGTAGCACAATACAAGTGAGTCACTTTAAAGTATTTTGTATAAAAATATAACAAAATCTTTGCACTAAAAGTGAGAGGTAGTGACCTCAGCAGAGGATATAAAAAATGAATCAATGTTTAAATATGAAACTTGTACTAAAAACTATATTAGCTTTTAATAAAAACTAACTGAAACTAATTTTCACAGATACTGATGAGAAAAGAGCTGATGTATGAAAGGAAAATATGGAAGATGGGAAGAAAAGTAAGGAAGCTTACCGTGGAGCACCAGTCATCAGAGAACTATGATTCGCAAAGGCTCCCCCATAGTAATATGGCAGACCATCCCCGTAATAAGGCATCTTGAATGTAATTATCCACTGAGTTCACGCTAGGGTTCGAGTACGCGATAGGAAACACCAAGGGAGACGCGTGAGCGGCGCACTAGCGGTTCGACGTTCTCGAAGACGACTGAGCTCGCCGCGAATCGCCGGCGAACGCGTTCTTCAGGTGTTCGTCGAGACGTTCTCACGGTTCAGGGAGCCAACGCTGACTGAGTTTAAGCCAGCGACCCAGTGTAATAATAGAAGTCTAGTATATGAGGCTTCCTAGCGTCTAACTATACTAGCTGGACTCTAATAACCCGTGCAACAGTCTCCGTCGACGTTTCTGAACAAAAATATTTGCGCTTTCTGATTGTTGCATTTACGTGACTCAGAATCAGCATGCTACCTCGTGTCTGGAAACTGTAACCAGCTTTATCATTAAAGATTACCAGAAACAAAATGGTAACCATAAGTAGAAGTTAAAAGATAAAAGTATGTAGAATTTATTTCGTTACTGAGAATCTTAATTTGCTTGAAGATTAGTGATTGTGACACAAAGAAGACATGGAATACTGTCATGTAGAATTGAACATTAATCTTCTTCAAACTGACTCTGATTACGTAAAGTTGCAACCACAACTGGAGAGTGAATTAGAAACGTTTTCCGGAACTGTTCCCGCGCTACGTAGCACATATACATATCAGTGTTTGAAAAGTAATTTATTTACCGGATTATATGATAGTATAACGCGTACAAATAATACACGTTAACGCAACGTATTTGTAATAAAACACGTGGAGGTAACACGTGGTCATATAACGCGAGACCACCTCCCCGCTATAAAAAGCCTCACGTATCTACATAGTATTATAACTATTTATAAAATTTATAATTTGTTTATTTTGTTCCTCCGATTGTGCCACCCGGTCCCGTAGACACCAGGCCTGGTTGCAGCGAGAGGAATGCGCAACATTCTAGTGGTTTCTATTTATATGCGAAGATTATTAAGAATATTCTGTAAATTCGTAACGTTGAAAGCAAACTTCAATCGTTGGCACATTTAGCAACGGAGCAAGCATTACGTTCGCACAAATTGTAAAGAAAAATCTTTTAATTGTCAATAGCGTAAACATGCGACAGCGCAGATGTACATGCATGTTAGCCAGACGTCTCGTGTCGTTGCCGGGTCGAATCACATTTTCACGTCTTTTCGTACTATCGAGGTTCGCGCCAAATTCTTTCCTTCGTCGCCTATTGTTACTCGTTCAGAGAATCTTGGAAATAGCCAGATTCTATTTTAAATCGGGGTGGACTTAATATTGAAATAGACATAGTCTTTACGCGTTGAACCGAATCGAAATTGAACCTTAAACTCTTACTGATTTTTGTGACGCTTCAAGGTGCATCAAAGAAAACTGTGAAATGTTTCAGTTGCCACTTACCGTCGCATCTCAAACCTTGCCTAAAGAATCCATACAACATGGAACCGCAGTGGTCGCAGAAGGTCGGGGACATGAATGTGTGGAGTCGGAACCTGTGAGGCACATCTACCTTGAAACGCTCCCTCAAGTACTGCCATTGAACAAGTATTGAAATAATTAACTTTGTGTGGAATCGGATATTCCATGGGTTTCAGAAAAATTATCATCCGTGATAGAAATCTTTTGTTGGGTAAGTGTCATAAAAATTGTGACTTTCTTTTTTAACTAACTTTCTCAATTTCAGATTCTGATCAGTGAAAATTCTAATGCGATTCGTACGAGGTCTACGTACCTCACACTACATGAGACCCACTGCGTATTTTGAGGCCCTAATCTCTACCTACAAGTAATTACTCCATCGATCATAAATTAGATGAACACAACCACGAAACATCAGAAATAGTCTTGTCCACAATGGAATCACTAAACCGCGTCATCCGATCAGGTTTTTAGAATTCTCGTGAAAAGAGTACAAGCGACAAAGAAGAGTTTATCCTATAAATCATGCGACATTTACTGTGGAACGTTCGATGAAATTTTGTATGGACCGGCGGATAAAACTAGCAGGACCTCTTGAAGGTTGCAGACGCGGACACTTACTATCGTATTCTCGGATTCCCTGCCGCTCTCCGGACACTTGGTTAGCAATTTATCGTGGCATTTCTTGTGCACCGCGGTTTGGCAGGCTAAAACACAAGATGGAATATATTAATAGAGGCGCAGTGTATAGACAGTGTAGTCTTATAGATCGAAAAAGTGATGCACGATTTAATATTTACCTTGGCACTGGTATCCCTGTTTCCCGAAACCCCTGCGACAGAAAGAAAGCACACGTTTCAGATCAATCAACGGACCGAAAGGGAATCTGGCCGAGGAATAACCGATACTTTGAGTAATGCACCGTACAATGAAAAACTATTTTTAGATGTCTACGCGTATCAAGGAGGCAACTGTGCGTTCCAGTCGCTCTTTTCTTTTATGATAAATCGAGATGCCTCGCTTATTTACCAGCGTACTGAACGTTCTCGATAAACGTGCATATTCTATACGCAGCGTGTTTCTTTTTAAATCGTTGCCTCGCCATTCAAAGACCGCGGTCTTTTCTCTATTCTTTGCATTAGAGATATTTACCAGAGAAAATCCTTGCAGAGAACGCAGAAAGTTGGTTGTCTGAAGAATTTGGCGACCAGTCTATGTCCACGAACAATGTGCACCTTGTTGTGTTTCACCGCACCCCTTCTTCTGGTGATGGCTCCTCCGACGTTATTTTCATACGGTAATGCCGACGCAGCAGCCACGTCCCGCCGAGGAACCCTCGTTTTGTACACGTATGTTTTCCCTGTGGACGTCGTTGGCGGTAAATCGTCCGGATTCAGTATTGGAATTCGCGTTCTGCAACATTCAATAAAATATGTACATCTTTTTTTATTAAACAGTGCATTTTGGTTCAACTTTTCACTTGCATTATTGTTTCAGGTTTGAGGAAAAAAGATGAAGAGTATTCCAAATAGACTTGAGCACTGGTATTGTTTTTATAGAAATGTCAAATGTAATAATTTATGAAGTTTAAGTTGAAATTGACACATAGTGAATCAAACTTAAATTAACTATACCAGAGGTGAGGCTATACAATGTATGACACCCTATAGTTTCCTAGTTCTTGTTGACATTCAGTTAAATTTTGGTAGAGTGACCTCTTAATATTAATTTCAGTTCCCACATATTAAAACATCTTTAATGAAACAATATTACGTACCGACTCACCTGTAAGTATATCCTTCCGCTCCGAGCCGGGTCTGAGGACTTCTATGATCCACGGAAGACCTCCTAGAACCGGAACCGGAACTGGAACCACCGCCAGCGTTGCGTCTCTTCGCATGGGAGCCACCGGTGAACATCATTTTCCAAGAATTCACTTCGTTACTTTTCTTATCAAAGCTCTTTTCTGTTCAGCCTCATTGGATCGTCAGTTCCAATTAAATTAACAGTAGTAAAATATAAAAGTTCTTAGCGTGACAAGTATTTCGTGCTATCTTTCCAATATTCCGTTGGTTTCAACGATCCTTGCCGCGTAATGCCAAAAGAATTTTCGTTCGTCAACCAGCAGCATCCTCGTTCGGACAGGCCTTGAACGAGGCATCGGTCACTTCCGCTCGAAACGAATTCAACGATTCTGATTTTGGGAAGCGAGGATCATCCTGCATGACCGATTAAAATCGTTAAGATGAACATTAACAATAATTATTGAAAGAATTCTTTATAAAATACTCGAAGAAAACTGAGCAATTAAATTTATGTTGTAGATATTTTCCGACTGCCTTCCTCCTGGCTTCAGCGCCTTTTTGAAAAATTAAAGGAATGACTAATACACCGAGGGTGTGTTATATAGACCTGCGGCTCGAGGGAGACATCGGATGGACCTTTCTTCCTCTTCTTTTTCGCTTGTCTTTTTAATTCACTCTTCATCTGTGTTGACGAAACGTACGGACACGATTCATTATTTCAGCAAGGACGTCTTGTGACCAAAAGTAGCACTAAGAGATGTTCAAACGTCAGCTACGCGGGTTTAACTGGTCGCACATACGCTCGAACGGTACACCAAGATGATTTCGCCAAATTTCTGAACAACCGAACCGTCTGATCGTTTTATCGCGTTAAATGAAAATCCATGAAGCGTTAGATAAATGTTGACGGACACAGGAACTGGATTTTGACGCCTAAAACGTTGTAGGTTTGCACGAAACTCTCGAATCTATAAATATCAGCCTGTTGAATGCCGCCCGCCATCGTGCACCTAGCGACACCCGCGGGAAATATTCTAGAACGCATTGTCGAGCGCGTTTTCCAGCCTGGAAAAGTTCTTCCAATTTTCTGAATGAACACTGTCATTTTCCTTTATCGAGAAGGTTACTTACTTTGATGTCCATCAGCCCTATCTAATATAATATAAGAAAAAGAATTGTATATATATTTAAGCAAATACATGCACTGTTCCATCTTGCTGTATCATCTTAAGCATTTGGTTGCACTAAAAATCTATAGTTATATAGCTGTATTGATAGCATAATAGTTGTATTCCATTGGGAAAGGTCGATGAGAATATGTCAATGTATTTTTTAAATTGAACGCTGTTTTATTTGTCTGTACATGATAGTTATTTCAAGGACAAACTCAATGACCTGTAACCCTGAGCCCAAGGTCAAAAAAGCTTTCTAATTTTTAATGATAAAGAAACTTAAACTTTTTATACCATTTCTTGTTACCCAATATGCATATGACTTCATAAATCTGAATTCTGTAAAAAATATTTGCATGAAAGTTTAACTGCAACAAAATTACTTGAGCGATAAAGATAGGTGAAACATTCTGCATATCTTGGTTTAGAAGTAACAACGTCAAATGTTCAATAAGTATCTTATTATATTAAATATAAAGTATCTTTTTTATTGTTTAGATTATTCTAAAACAAGAGATTTTCTGAATAGCTCTACTAATGTGTAACAGTTTTAAAATGTATATGTTTCCATTGTCAAGATGGGAACCACAATTTTTAGTACATCTCTAAATTAGGATCCTTCTTTGAAGGTGTCTTTTTTGTAGATTCCATCGGTGAAATGAAAACACAGACTTTTTTAGGTAGCTTTGTCTCTTTTTTATGCAAACATTTATATTTTTTGTCTTTTTTTTTTTAATGATTTTTTCTTTTTGTTCTTATAATTAACGATGTGTACAGTGAATTTGTTTCTGTAATATAGCAAATACAGAGAAATGTAGGTATTTATTGGTGATCGTATCATAGATAGAGTTAAGTAATATCCTTTTATTCTTTTTTTTTCCGTTACTGTGTCTGTGTATGTGTGTATCACGTTAAGGACTCGTCATTTCGTCCCTTTTCGTCCGCTCGTTCGCGAGCTCAGTGTGATAAATATTGCTAAGCGAAATAAAAAAAGCCGCCTCGAACACAGCCTTTTTATGTCGCAGACGCAGAAGACACGACGAGGAAACGGGCCGTTCCTCTTTACCGCTCTATGTACAACTAAAATGAAATACAAACAGTTGGATCGATCGTACAGTCGCGTGACATTTTGTGCTTACGAGAATCGTTTTAAATAACGCATTGCAAACAAAGACTCGCAACGAAACCGTTTCCTCGTCGGTGAACACGTGTGCATTGAGCTGTTTCACTTTCGCCCACGGCAGAACTACACGTTAAATAATGAAACTAATAGTAACGTCTTACAAAGTACAGTATTTATATACATATAAATACATATATACATATATCTAATGCGTATATATATGTACATATATGTATATATATAATATATTTATATATGTATATATAGCCGACGAGAAATAGAATTCTAAATCGATACGAACATTGCTACCGTAAAACTTCCAAGTGATTGCTTACAAAGAGGCTGACTTTTGAAAACTAAAACACTGCCCTGTTATCGTTCTTCCTTTCTTACGTTATTTCGTAGCCTTCCGTTTATACTACATATCCATGATTTTATGATTCTAATATTACATTATCAAAACTCTTCCCTTAGTCGTTCCATAACTCAACACATTCTCTAAAAACACTGTTCGAAATCCATGTAAAAGAAGAATATCAATTAGGAATGATTACAAAAGACTTCATGTAATTGCAAAATCAGAAGAAATCCGTTAACCGTACGAGAGCTACGATTTCATTGTTTGTCTGCCTGCAAACATCGATGCCATGGGTTCGAGGTCTAAAACTTCCTATGAGGAAGGCACAAATCATAGTCGTTTTATTGCATACGTGTACTACATAGGGCCTCGTTATTTGGAAAAAACTTTCTTGACTCTCTTCACGTGTTAGCAATCGCATTGCATAAGTTCGAATGACAAAAAGTAAGAATGATGGTCTCACAGGGATGATTGATCGATTGTCAGTGGTCGGTAGCTAGCTTTTTAGGCTGATGTTTCTGTGCACGCTTTAGTCGTTGCTGCAGCAAAATGTGCAGTTGTTCGATTTGCTTGGGCGCCGCTTGAACGATGAAAATTCTAATGTCGCCATGGACGTCCATCGCCGTTAATCTCAACGATTTCGGAGCAGCTCGTTCCGCGGTCATTCCTGGCCATACTTTCGTGTTCAAGATTAATCTTTGCGTGCCCGCGGTACGTCCTACCAAGCGGGACTCCTCGTCGCGATCATTCAGTCGCAATGTACCCCTGCCTCTCTCTTGCCAGCCACCACTAGCCTAAATACAAAATACAACTATTTGTTACGGCAACGCCTATCGACAGATTTATTATTAGAAGTATTTTCCATATAGGTAACTACCTTGTCAAATGCAAATAGTTTACAATTGATTTGGAGGACATTTGTTTCTCCTTCTTCACCGGTTAACAGAGTCACTTGACTATATTTCCTTTTATTTGCACGACTCGCTTCCTCTAGTTCCTGGGCTGCTTCCGTTAGCGTCAGACCGGGGCGGGTGGTTGTACGGCAAACTGCAGAAGCGTTCGAGAAGAGAAGCTCCGTAGAACCATTTTCATTTGTGCTTTCTTCCTTTGGTTCCTCGCTCTCCGATTTCTCGGAACTTTCCGCATCGTCCGCAACCACGACTCGCTCCTTCAAGTTCTGACCAAATACGAAGCTTGGTTCAGAATCGCAGGACGATACTGTGCTATTTACAGTATTATTTTCACTATCCTTTGTGCTTGCACCCAGTGGTAAAAATGTTGGTTTTGCTTCCTCTGTTGGTTTCTCCTCGGTCTTAGTTTCCTTTGTTTCTTTAGTCTCCTTCGTACTTTGGTTCGCAGTCTCATTCTTCTCTTCTAAAAAACTGTCTGTAACTTTTACGAATGGATTCTGAAACTTTGCAGGTTGTAAGACTATTTTGTTAGCGGTCTGATTATTTTGGGTCACTGCACCCAACTGAGAGGGCCTCAGTATAGATGACTTTGTCATATTAGGCGAAGAATTAGAAAATTCGCTGCTTCCAAATGGGTTGAACGACTTTGAACAACTTTTCATACGTGCAGCACCTATGTATAAAATTTTGCATTCCATTAGTACTTCTATAAACGCTAAAAACAATTTCAACAAGAGTATGTAATAGATATACCTTGTACTTTGTTAGAACTCGATGAAGATTCCTGAACATTACTCTCTGCAGCTGCATTTTCCATTTCTTCTAAAAGAATTTACATACATGAAATATCATTCATTAACTGCAATCATGATAAAACATGGTACAAGTTTTTCACACTAATTCAGTCGATACTTGAAGCTTATGGATCATTACTTATATGTTCAATAATACTTATTATTTAAAGTGCTGAGAATCAGTCAATTAATATTGTGAAGACAACCATGAAAAATACACTTTGAATGCAATAAATGCTGCAGGAAGTTACAGTAGGATTAATTGTTTATCATAAAAAACAACGTTGTATTTACCACTGGCAGAATTTTCAGGCGAATCCCCCGGTGAATCCCCTGGAGAATCCTGTGGAGGAAATACCTTTAAAACATACGATGGCCTATTTGTTTCTTCTTTGTTTTCTGCATAAAATACAAAACAAACAGTTGTATTATTTGGTCAATCTGTCGAAACACTTGCACAAGCTAGCATTACGAGAAGTGGGTAACAAAAAAAAACCATATTTATACGGAAAATACACAAACGGTGTAGCAATAATTCTCTAGGCGTCTTTAATCAGTAATTTACATGATTATGCGCAATTTATCGATAATTTACTTAAGAAAGAATCACAAAACGCACCCTTGCAGTCCGCCATTTTTTACGTGGAAGTGCTTCGGTGCTGTCATCTAGTTGTATCGTTTAGCAACGAGAAAAAAATGTCCACGAACACATACATAAATACATTCATACATCAAAGATCATACAAACGCTAATGCGTTCCTCTTTTTAAATATAATAAATTACAAATATGGCATTTCATTTCATTTATCGATATAATATTTGTCGAAATAAAACTATGCCTGATGCGACGCGAGATCGTTACCGATTCGCGCAGTGCAAATGAGCTCAGAAAGCTCTCCCACCATACTTGCATTGCCCCTTCCATGACTTTACCGTTCATGTACACGGTGAAAAAGTATATGAAGAGAAAATTGAAAATTTTATTCAGCAATGCAGAACAACTGCAGAAAAGCAATCAATTAAATTAGATATTGGCTGTAGGGTATTCCCACTTATGTAGACTTTGTTTTCCTCATCTGTAATTCAAGTTTGTACTTCGTCCATATATTACTAAATATAAGGATATGTTTACTTAATGTAAGTTTATGGAAAAGAAGTAATGTGGGAGGAAATACTAAATAAACGATCACTGAATATATGCATTCAGTTATGATTGTCATAAGGGCACATGCGTGTTACCCTTAGTTACAGAGCGCCCTAAACCAATTAGAGTTGACATGCGCAAAACGAACGACACTCATTATTCAACGATAACGTTCTCTTATGACTTCAATTTATGATAATTATATAGAAATAAATTATGTACTGCGGCAGACTTCTTAACAATAATTTGTATTTGTTTTTTGTTTAATATCTTATTTGATTATGATAATGAATCTGGATGTGTTTCTGCAAAGTTACTTGAAAATCATCGAAACACTCCTTGTCAGAGGTGTTTCTAGAGCTTATGGGGCCCCAAGCAAAAGTGCATGTAATGAAAACATGTAATTGTATTAAAAAATTTGTGTACTTGCTACCTTTGAATCGCAATTCTGAATCTGTTTAATTTTTTAATCGTTATCACTTTTCTCGCAATAATGACAACATTATTAACAGAGTATACTCAGAACGTAATCTTATAAGATAAACTTAAAATATCGAATGTGTTTATAAAAATTAGAGGTATCAATAAACGTAAATATTTACAGTTTATACTTAGATTATTAAAATAAATATAAAATGATACGTGACTGTAAAACGGTTTATATTCGTATCTTCTTTTATCGTGAATTTGAGTTCTTTATTTTTCAGCTACAAGTTACAGAGATGTTGTAAGCTTCATTTTTTCGTACGTTATCACGTTCACCAGAAAAACATGTAACGATTACGAACTTAATTTATCGAAGATCCGTATACGTTGAAAATTATTGGCAGTCATGGACGTATCAAGAGAAGGATAGGAGTGGGAGAGACATAACCGATTATACTTTCAGTAGATTATACAGCAACTCTGTAGTCTTACAACACCGCCAGAAGACGGACGTAGAAATTATAACTCTATAATTAAAAAATTGCTGAATTCTTATTATTGAAACACAATGTCTCTTGATGAAGTAAGGATTTTATCATCAATTAATACTGTATATATTAGTTTTTTAATACTTTTCATTTATCTTCATTTAACTTTATTAGAAAGAAGAACATTTTTATTAAACAGTAGAAGAACACAGTGTTTTTATTTTTGTACTTTTTCAGAAATTTAATAAAGCTGCAGAAGAAGTGAAGGAACTGAGTTCTCAACCTTCGGATGCAGATTTACTTGAACTTTATTCGTTGTTTAAACAAGCATCCGTTGGAGACTGTAATACATGTAAGTATTATAATTTCAAACCTCCTCATTATTTAGAAATAGTGTGCTTTCTTAGCAACGATGTAAAAACATAACTATAGCAGAAAAACTTTTTTATGTCTTTTGCTGACCTTTAGCATTTGCCTTTTTCAAATGTATGAATAGTTATTATGCATTTTAAATCATCATTTACAATTCTGATTAGTGCTACCAAACCATGCAAACATTTCAGTTAATACTCTGTACCTTGTACTGTATTTATTGCTACCCATTTTTTGGAGTTTTATGATAATGATTTATAACAAAGATTATAATTTTCTTTAGCAAGGCCAGGCATGCTAGACTTCAAAGGCAAAGCCAAGTGGGATGCTTGGGATCGTATAAAGGGCATGGATCAAAATACTGCTAAAGAAAAGTACATTCAGAAGGTGGAACAGTTGGTATCTACTATTGGAAAGAAGTAACTTCTTGAAGAATATTAAACACCGTGTAAAACTTATAAAGTTCTGTAACTTCTATACTCTTACCAATGCAGGTGTATTTTTTATTGATTTTTTATGGCAGGGTGCAATAGTTAGAAAACGTTTTGAATACTTTATATAGAGTTATTTAAGTTAAATGTATTTCCAATAATTTGATAATTTAAGAAAAATATTTTTGAAAGGGACCACGGATGTAGTCTCATTTTGACAATACGGTTATAAAACTTTTTTCAATGGCCATAGGAATTGATGACTCAAATCGATAAATTAATTCGAGATTTTGTTATCGTGGTAGCTGAATTTATTTTGCTATCACTGATTCGTTATTTACATCGCCGATACCGAGCCAGCGTTTTACACACCAACATGTGACTGTTACGTACATAATCTTCAGATTACATCAATGTATTCTTTAATACTTCCTCGAGGCGCATAATATTAAAAGTATTCAGAAAAGAGGAACAATTTTTTTAAGAAAAGTTTTACACTTTTGTGTAACTTGTTTATATAATCACAAACATTCAGATGAACAGACGGATTGTAACTTCATCAAGCTTTCTGAATAAAACGGATGAAATAAATAAACTTTGATACAACTAAAAGTTTGTTGCTAAAAGATATCCCATCTTAGCATAATGCCTAGATTGAAAGAGAAATATCCATGAAAACATGTGGTGTATGGAATCAACAAAAAGTTATGATATATCATAGTATATTAATTAATGTATTTCTCCACGTAAGTTTGACATTTCTTCCTTATCATTATATACACGTACGCAAGAAACAAACTAAGAGAAACAAATAGGATTACGACACTTAAAATTGTTTTAGGGGATGACATTCCTGCAACAGAAAAATCTAATCCCTTTTACAGTTCGGACCAAGAGGAACATATTATTTTTCAACGCGAATATTTTGAAAGGGAAAAAAAAAGAAAGATCCATAATCATAAATAATAAAGAACAGTTAAACGTGGTCGTAATACAATTTTATCCTTTGAGGTTAATGGTTATGGCTGTATGTTAAACATGTCCCTAAATAAATTTATATCATGAATTATGTATAGCAATGCGTGAAACACATCCACGTGTGTCTTATCCGCACGAGGTTTATAATATATATTTAATTAGAGTGAATCGCACGTTAAATTCGTTAAAATCAGTCGTAGCATTTCTTTTTTTTTTCTTTTCAAGTTCTCGCGACTTACATACGAGTAAAAACCTAATTAATTATAACTTACAAGATATCATGAATTATAATCCGCTAAGAAACTAAAGATAAGCGAAACTTACCGTATAATTATTAAACGTAACACGCCAGATTTTCAAACTTAAAATGACGCGCTATCTATAAAACGCAAGAGAACGTGTAAAAATTAAACTTTCTCTATTATCCGCAGAAAGATGAGCCTTGTTTTCTCTTTCGATCGTGAGTTAAAAATAAAAGTACGGTATATTATGCCATATTTGATGCAAAATCTTACAACAGACTACTTTGCAAAAAATTTATTTCTAGTTTGAAATCAAACAGACGTAGTCAGTGAAAGCTAACCCGTCAACTTTGATCCCGATCGAATTCGAATAGCAAAAGAACAACGTATCGGGGAGAAAAGACAAAATTTACATCTGGTTCGTTAATGGTACATGTATGTATGTATGTATGCGTGTGTCTGATCCAAAATAACGAAGAGACCAAAGAATAAAGAGAACGTAAAAGAAATGAATGAGAGAAAGCTGCAAGAGTTGCCTCTATTTTCTCTTACTCTTATCGTGCTTCTTAGTGAGAGGTGGATGATGGTGCGTCTTTATTCTGCTAGCCTTCTGATGGTCACCATGGACTGTTCTCAAGTTCTGGCCAGCCATCGCGATATCGCTGTCTGTCAGCTGGCGACTCGTCGATGACTCGTCAAACCTGGTAAAACAGAGAAGGTGACGGGAACAAAAGCTCAGTAGCATTCTCGTAGCTTTGCTTAATATTGTGTTAATTCCAAATTAAGCTTTGAACGGGGCTCGATCGCTCGAGCAGGAAATCCACAATCACTGTCATCGAAATTTCGTCGAGTAATCCGCTAAGTTCTCTGAATATCGTTGGCTGCGTGTTAATGATACATTTATATATACATATATATCCTATCTATGTATATCTATATATGTATATATAAAATAATAATAATAATCTATGTATATGTACATGTATATTTTGTTGTTATCTCGTGTACAATAATGCGTCGACCAGCGGCACTAAACATAGTATTAATAGCATTATTCCAACGAGAAACGAAGCCAGTCGATGGAGATGATCTAGATAGATTACAAAATAAGCCGCGGTTGACGATTCGTTGAAAAACGATTACACTTATTTCTTTTTTCTTTCTTTCTTTCTTTCTCTCTCTCTCAGGTAGATAGGTAGCAGGAACACAAACACATCTCGGTAGAGCGCAGAAATATTACTCGCAAATTGTGACACGACGACAGGAATTTCTCAATCGCTGCTGAGCGGAGATCGAGCGAGCGTTCTTGGGTAGAGATCTGATTTAACTGTACGTTATTGATTGTGGCACGCCGTTCACCGTCTTCGACTTCAGCACATCGTTCTCGTACGACATTATCGTTTCCTTGCCATTCTCAAACACTCTGCAAAGGAAACCAGTCGTCAATTTTAACTTTTACATACAATTCCGAACGTTATCGTGTATACAGAGATTCCCAAAGTACGAATTGTAAGCTGATTTTAGGTGAGTGGCGTTAAATATATTTCTCCTCTGCTTTTTAACATGTTCATTACAAATGGAATTTGGGTATTTTAGAATTTCGAAACCTTGTCACCTCGAATCAAGAAATGTGACCATTGTGGAGAGTACGTTTTGGCCCGTGAAAGTTTGGGAAGCCCTTATATACATTCTATGCATGTGTTCAACACGGACACCATACTTATTCCCTTACTTTTTGGTGGTGATCTTTTTGCCGTTGATAAATCGAGTCGAGGTACTTGTTCTCTTCACCGATCCACCACCATTATTACCATCGATGGTCGTGAACGTGTTGAACGAGGTGAAGTTTCCTGATAAACCTTCAAACAAGTTGTTCAAATGGGAGGACGTGCTTATGCTGTTACTGCTCGGACGACTATACCTATTGAACGGTCGACCTACACCAGTTCCAGTGAGGCCTTCGGGAACATTAGTTAAACAGTTAATTACACGGGTTTTCAACGTATAAACACTGAAAAAATGTCTTGGAGGACGAGGCTATTATTTGATTAATCACTGACTTAATGTCTCATTCATCGTTCAACGAAAAAGGTTTCGTGATTCATTGGTCTCTTCTCGTGTTCAACGAGTGTATACCGATTCACATTCTACATTTTCATCACAGGTTGTACACCGAGGAGTTTACTTACTAGAGAACAAGTTCTCGAAAGAAGTATCGCCAAAGAATTCCCTGAATACTTCCTCAGGATCTCTGAAGACGAAGGTACCGGTGAAGTATGTACCAATGTCATCCTCGTGTCGCCGTTTGCCGCCAGACATTTGAAGTCCCTCCTTTCCATACTGATCGTAGACTCGCCTTTTCTTCTCTGCAAAGCGTACAAGATAGAATATGATTATTACTGGTCACGCGACGAGATGTCAATGCATTTTGCTTAGTTTTATTCGCTCCAAATTCCAAGAAGCAGGTACTGCAAGGCTTGCCAGGTTAGTAGAGTTCGCTGGATGATTTCTAGTATCAGTCGAGGGTTGTCCACCGCAACAGCAAAATCAGTGTAGAGAGAACAACGTGGAAAATTATTAGACAAAGAAAGGAATACTTAATATTTGATTCTTTGAAGGACTAACTGTGAGAAGTCTTCTAGGAATCCTGGTTTGGTCAACTCGGATTATTTTGGATAACTTCTGATTAGTCCTTCAAAAAGATGAATTATGATCAAACTACTGGCGCACATTGGTCGTTCTCTCATTCGGTAAGTCGAGCAATGGCAAAAGGTTAGAAGTGCGATATGATACAGGCAATATTATCTGTTTTTCGCGGCGACTCATACACCGCGTGAAAGAGAAAAAAGTATCTTTCGAGTTTTGCACAGGGATTCTGTATACAGAAGATGATCAAAAACTTCTGAATCCTGCAGCTGGGAACTACATCCTGAAGGCATAAATGAGGGATTAGGTTTCCAATGAATCTTTCCAAACATATTTCAAGAAGAATCTATCCACGTTTCTCGCAACAGCAAAGTAAAACTGAAGGTGGATGATCGAACACGAGAACAACAGTACGAAAATTAAAAAAAGAAAAAGAAATACAAGGCTTGGCCACTCTCAAAGTCTTTTTTCTCTTAAGTGGTACCGAAATATCGCTGGAAAGGAGAGTCAAAGTAACTCCGGTAGGTGAATCCACGGCCGGGCCTCGAGGACGCCTTCTGATACAATCGTTGGTCGTAGGTTCGTCTCTTCGCATCTGGACATCGAGCACGGTCACAAGAGATCGTCCGGAAACAAACATTTCTAATTGAATTTTACTTTCTTTGTTTAGGCTGAGACTGGACTCATCGGTTATTGCAGCGATGCTTCGGCTAAGGAGTTTTAAATCTCGGTATTCGATTCTCGAGTTTCAAAGAAATTTCTTAGCAGTTATAACAGTACTCGTTTAACCCCTTGGCCTCAAATAATGAGTCTGGTACATGTTCTTCCTGTACAGATGCAAACACTCGTAAAATTTTAAGTACGAGTTAACAGGTAACTAATCTTGTTAATGTTTCATGTTCAATTCCTTATTATTAAGCTGTAGTGCATATTCAAATCTTCTGCATATATTTGTTTAGTTCACAGCAGTAACGGACTCGGTTAATAGCAGCAGACACATTAAACACCACTTTAAATTTAGTCATACATCAAGGGGTTAAAGGAATATAGATTTTGAAACTCTAGAATCTAGTACCTGGAGCTGCGAGTGTTTCACAAATGGTAAACGTTACTATAATAATCTTGAAAAATTATTAAGCAAGTTCATTGTTATCAAAGAATTCTCGCAACTCCTCTGAATAGGATACGCTGGTTATGAAACAGTTCATTCATAAGGAACGATAGAATCGTTCTAGATCGTATCTGGTTGAACCGTTGGGTCCCAGAATAAGTCGTACTAGTTGGAGACCGGTTGAAAGGGGAAGATGCTCATGCGAAATTCGGCGTTGTTGACAAGCGGAGGAGCTCCTGTCGATCATCTCCTGTTGGCATCGCCAGCCGCTTTACAGCTTTCATTATTCAAGCTAGTATACTGATTAATCTTAGCAAGAACCAACACGAGATCCTTTTCGTTGGAATTTGGAAATTCAGCCGCTGTATAATCATCGCTTTTACAGAGTTCTTCTACTTGAAAGAAAGGTACTTGAACGAGGCAGCTTACCGTCTATTAGAACTTCATACGCTTCAGAGATCTCTTTGAATCTTTTGTTTGCTTCGTCTAGATTTTCGGGGTTCTTGTCCGGGTGCCATTTCAGTGCCAATTTCCTGTATCTGTAAAACCACAGAATCATCATTCAGAAGAGGATCGTTTAGGAAAGTAATGCTTTATGAATGTCTGTAAAAGAGGAGATCAGGATAGACAAATACTTACGCCTTTTTGATGTCTCCGCTCGAGGCGGTCCGCTGCACCTCCAGTACTTTGTAATAGTCGACCATCGTTCACTGTCTTTGCACTTGGATGTCAGGGCTTAGGCAACCACCTGTCAAACAATGCGAGAACAGTTATCGTAATTAGCAGGCCAATTGGCAACCACACTACGACACCGAGGAGGGTCAATAGGTTAGGAACGCAGGAAAAAAACAGCTATCCCAGTTTCATTCGGCAAACAGCCTATTCCGTTCTGAACACGTTGATTTGCCGGGTCATGTTTGCTTTACTGAATAGTGCAAGAGTTCTAAGAAATTTCACAAGAATTGAATTTCTTCTTAAACACTTATGAAGGCAGGTTGTATTACTTTACATCAGCTGTTACCATTAAGTAACAAATTCAAATCCATTGACATTTTTGAACACAGAAGTTCACTATTTTAAATGACACGAACCACAGATAAAGATGACATTTCCTCTGGCACAAAAAAGACAGTGCTTCTTTCATTACTGGACTTTAAATTCAAACATTCATTCCAGCAGTACATAATGGTAGTTTTTACTAATCTCTAAGCAAACAGCAGTCTCTTTAAACACGTCATGGGTAGTTCTATGAATCAAGTAGTTGTTAAAGCGTTAAGAAAACCCCTGCTATCGTGTTGCATTACAAAAGATTCTGCACCGCGTCCAATTCAAGATACAACAGGATTGCCAAATACATGATCAGCGCTGGGTCCAACAAACCCCGGGATGTACTTCATTCAACTAAGAAGCTTGTGTCCAAGAATGCCGGCAAAAAATACGTGCCAACATTCCAAAATAGTTTCCTCGTACTATGTAGTATTCCAGCGAACACGCAAATATATTCCTCACCGAGTTAATTTTACGTGGTGTTTTTGAAATAGCGACGCAGCGTTATATAAATGGCTCACTCTTAATAGTCTGCTTGCGCCGATCAAAATTAATGAAAATCAAGCTGGTTAACGCTTTTGCAGTTCTCGATATTTTTCAAGTATACTCAAGGTTTCATTTGCATTGAGACACTGTTGGTATCAACACGAATAAGTGCAGGCGTTATTAGGTGTACATAATTATCGATGGTTAAGTAATCGGTACCGATAAATACCTATAATTACCGTTACTGTATAGATGCTCATGATGGTTACAATGAGCCTTAGTATATAAAAGTGTTAGACCTCATGGATACCTGTGGTCTGATGCGCATGGAGCTATTAAAAAATGATGGATGACCACAATCCTACACCACAAAGTAAATAACAGGATAGACACAATGATCAAGGGTGATTATAGGCATTCTCAGTTTACACCTGGTTACAGTTAGTTTTGCAATTTGTGCATAGAAGGAAGTTAGATGGATGACTATCATACTCTGGTACTCATGCTATTAAAGAAAATGGCTACAGTAACCCTCAACACACAGGGTAAACAGTACTGGGACACTCCTAGTTTTACTCGGATGATCATGTGAGTAATTAGTGAACTATAGTCACCCTAGGTAGACAAGCAACCGGCACAACCCGGGTAATCCGTAATTGTTGAGAAAGGCACTTGCCCAGAAACCTCATCGTTTCGAGCGAAACTTACACACGCGTTTCACTCAGTCACAAAAGAACCTCACCAGTCACTCAGCGATTCGATCCCGTCGTCTAACAACATTTTGCTTCTTCGATAGTTACTGAACAACTTTCAAACGAGTTTCAAAGAGACCAATCATCCTGGAGGATGAAGACTAATTCGAGAGTTACTGCTTGATTCGTAAAAATCAAGAGAACTGAGAAGCAAGACTCCGCCAAGAAGCGAATAGCCGGTGGAAAAGTTCAGCTCAAAGTCAAAGACTGGACTAACGAAAACGCTAAAGTTAGCCGAGACGTATATCGAAAATAGTTCGAAACACGGAGGTGGAGGTCATTACGTTATCCCACTTCAGTTTCTCTCCCTCCACTTGCTAGTCGCAAAGCAGATAGAGACGGTCCCACTTGCGTTCTGCTCATTACATTTGTTTTATACGAAAGTACAGAATACACTGAATCATCCAAACCAAAACAATCACTCAAATCATTTCTTCACACGTGTGGATACATATTTGATCCATGAGTGTTGCAAATCCAAAATATATTTTCTTCCTGAAAGAAAGATAGAAGACTGCTTAAGGGTTGCATTTTAAAGCTAATATATAGAGTATAGATTTTCATTTAGATTCTAGTTGCAGAAGCATGAAACTGTGTTACTAGGTGAACAGGGCTGTCCTCTATCCGCCAGGTGAACAACGTTTCATGTCCATACGTGATACAGGAACACCACCTCCGCGATCAGGTCGAGGACGTTCGACTGAGGCGTTTTACATCGCCTTCCGTGTATACTGTCCTACACAGGTTGTTTGCTATCTGTATGTCTGAATTAATGTTTAGAATCAAAACTTGACTTTCCCCTCTGTTTTAAGAGATTACAGACAATTTTTAATTCTTCAAGCTCACTCCGAGAAACATGAATCTATGTGGACCAAAACTAGAGCAGCTGTCATCTATAACACCATTAAGAAATTGCATCAAATTATATTTAAAAACAATAATAAATAGATTTAAATGAAGAAACAGTACCATGATTTGAACTACCCTCTCATAGAATACACAGTGCCATCTATGAACCTTCAACACTAAAGTTATTAAAGATATAATAAATGTAAAGAAAAAAATAAATAATAAAGCAATAAATGTTATCGTAAATCCTCAGAACACCTTGTACATTTGCATCAAAATTACACACCAGATATGACTGCTTTGCATTCGACATTCAAAGGCAACCAGGAAAAGATACTCTCTGTTGTCAAATACGCCAAGTGGTGGGTGAAAAGCGGGCCTTGCCAGTCCACGAATTAGGAAGCTTATTCTGTAGCTTATAATAAATCTGCGCGTTCATACGAGGATCGCGAAATCTGTGAGTCACGCCGCTTTCGAAGGTGATTTTGGCCTGCCTACACGTTGAACAAGCATCGCAGGTAAAACCGCGTGAACAGTCATCGCCGACGTGGGTCGTCGTGGGCGTCTTTCCAACAGTTCGCTACGAAACACCCTTCCTCACCTGGTACATTGTCCTTAGAAGAAAAGCTTCAAACTTTATGTCTCATTATCAATCAATGTATTCCTAACCTTTAACCTAACCTTTTGCTCTCGGACGATAACTTATCGGTGTCATAACGTAAACATTCATTCGCAGTCCCAGCTTTTTAATTACTTTCAATTGATACGTGATTTGTTCTTCTTATTATTCACTGAATTTTTATTGATTATAGGAGTCAATATTTTTTGCACGGATCCTAGTTTTGGCGCCAAGAATTTTGACACGCGCATGCGCGGTGCACTTGACACTTACGGTGGCGCGCACGATGGGTTCGATACGTCATTTTGTTTTTGAAAAATGTATCAAAGGTATATCATATCAAACTCTACAATATTTAACAATTTATATCAATCATTGCTTATATCAGTTTAACTTCTTTAACTTTAGGTGCATTCTTTTTGGAATACTGAGTGAATTAATACCGAAAATGTGGTTAAGGTTTGATGCTCCCCAAACAGTGCGCATGCGCAAGTAACGAATGCTTTTTTAAAATGCATAGTGCCGAAAGAATGACAATAGGAATCTCTTTAGGAACACCTAATGTTCGTCTCTGTACGTGTCTCAAATTTTTCCAGGTTTCATAAAAGTGACAATGTTCTAAAACAGTGAAGGTACGTAAAGCCGCAGTTTATTGATACAATAGGGACGGAGATAATGGAATTTTCCGGTTTCAGGCTATCGGGAAACATGGACCGAGTGTCTAGCGATCGAACAGCGCGAGGAACGTGGCTGGAAACGGGTCTTCGATATTTAAAATTCAACGGCGCCTGTACGCGAGAACTGGGACTCGAATAGCTTACGTAACAGGCGATTCGAACGAATGTTTTGGATGCCTATTGTGTTCGTAACATGATCAAAGAACAGCAGTTGAGTCTTATCAATTGACGAGTACCAGGGAATCCTATGAATTACCTCGAAAATTTCAGGGAACCTTATTCACAAAAACGTCGATAAAAACTTTTCAGTGTTAGGAACTTTGATCAGTAATTATAAAATAATTTCTATTTTGATTTCAGAATCGATAAACCTAATGACAATGTCTATCAAAAGTAACAGTGTCAAAGCTAGAAATTCTCGGCCTAATGGGAGGATGTATTGTGTAAGATATTAATTTTATAGGCAGCGATGATCGTTAATAATCGCGCCGTACTAGTTTTGGTCTTGACATTCGTCCAAAGATAATCGTTCGAAGACGAGAAACGTTTTGGGCACTGATCCAAGAATGGAAAGATCGGATACACGGTGATTTCGTTGCTTTAACGATGAATATAAATTATCGTTTAGTCTTAAATATTGATCTTCGTTCTTTCTTAACGCAGGTATTAAGAACAGGTGTTTCTCCCAGATGTTTTACCTCTTTTAATTGTTGCGATAACTATACTGTAAAAAGTTTACAACGAACGGAAAGACTATAAGGAAGGAAGCTTACAGACTGGATTTCCTCCTGAGATACATGGAAAAGGGAAAACCGGATTTCTGAAGTAGATAACTTTTACCGCAATATTAATGCTCTTGGCAGACTTTTATATTCATCTCCATTTTCAAAACATTTTATTTCCAATCAAATATTTTTTAGATGATATTAAAACTAGACAGAAGATAAAACTCAGGAAACCTGGCATTTCTTTTCGCAAGCCGAGTTATCGATCCATGTACTATCTACAAATTAACGTGCAATATTTGCATGAAAAACGTGTCCTTATGGAAATGCGTGTGGCGAGTACCGTATCGCGAAGCGTGACACCCGTCGTATTGCAGTCTGGTTAAACAGCGGTTTAGTCATGAAACCTCGAGCTTTTGTCAAACCTGCGCATCAATTAAACGAAATGAAATACGAATCGAGACAGCTATCGAAGCAACGAATCGATACTTTATCTCTTTTATCGGTAATTCTATCAAATCTGAGCCGGAGGGCTGCCTCGTCGACTTCCGCGATTGCAGGAAACGAAAGTTCAGCGGAATTATTGACCTAAGCCTGGCACGATGACTCGCTACAGTCTGTTCAAAGTCAAGCAACTACTCAAGGACATCGCCCCCACCACAATTCATAGTGTTGTCCCTATTGGTGACGTCACGTGTGAATAAATGCTGCGAATAATTACAGTAAAACGATAAGTTTTTGCATTTTATCAACGAGTGAGCAATATAACTGTAGGAAAGTAGTGGGATTCGCTTCCTAGAGTAGTCCTTATCAAAGGAAGTTTATACTGCACTGTACAACGCATGGTTATATGTAAAATACAACAGCACAGTACTTCAAGTAATCTGTCCGACATAGAGTTAATCATCTGAATGATTCAACAGCTGATTACTCATTACAATCGGTTGAATATTCTTTTCTGTCACAGAAGAATGATTGGAAGATTTAGACGCTATGTATCGAACACGAGACTCAGAGCCGATAGGATTGTCAAGGAGAATAATATAGTGACACGTGGGCGATGCGACAGTCTCTAACAAATTAGAGGCTTAAGATTGTAAATACCCAATCCCACGTGACTAATCTAACCAGTCCCGACTAATTATACAGATCTATAACAAATCTGCGATACATTTTGATCTGTTAAAGTCAATCACTTAATTGCTATTTACTCAGCATCCATGAATACTGCAACAGGAAGCAATTAATTAAATCAATTAAGAAATCTTTGAGGAAAATGATGCAATACAATTATTAGAAGTTACTAATGAAATAATGCAAACAGTAACGGCTAAACTTCCTGTGGTTTTAGTCATCGAATCTCAAAGGGCAATGAACCAGCAGTAAGACTTTCAAAATCTTTTCTTATCCACCGTCATGTTTTTAATGGTACGGAAAGAGTTACGTGCACGTACATGTAATTAATGTTCTCGAAACAGTTGGAGGATGTAGAAAGGGAAATTGAGTGATTGATGTGTCAGTAACGCCTGTCGTTTTCTAGGGGAAATGCAGCGGAGCGTGAAAAACCGGAGAAAGAGAGAATTGCAAAACGAAGAGAAGCGAGAAAAAGACGAGAGACCGCGAGAAGCACGCTGAGCTTCCTTTTGCGCTCTCCCGAGGAGGTGTGACGTCAGTTTTACATATTCGGGCAGTGGCGAGCGATGTATCGAAGAAAAAGGATTTCACGCGTGTCGCCTGATCTTGAGAAGTTGCTCTCTCTGTTCGTTTCTGCCAGAAGGACGATTTTGCGCTCAACGTACGGTCATCCTTGCCCGTTTAAAATACCGTCGTGAATGTTTCTTTTGTTATACGCGCGGCGATCTTGAGGCAAAAAGTAAACAATTACTCTTCAATCTCCGTCATTTATCTGCCAAGCGAATGAGCACATATTTCGTACGCACGTTTAAACTTAAAGATGGAGAGATATTTTCCATATTATAATAATATTACGTTGAACACGAGAACTTTCTTCTGTCAGGAAAGTAGAAATTTCACTTGCAACGTTGGTTCATTAATAGAGGAATTGGTGTATCAATGAATACACACATGCACAAAGAGGATCCATCTATTTCTAGTCCATCGATTTATCTTCAGATACTGCATAAATATACGGAGGTATTACTGGCAGCTTTGATAGTAATGCAACGTTGCGTGATATTGTGTAATGTAGCTCATTAAAAATATCACGACTTTGTTTTTCTAATCCTAGGCAAAAATTTGAGGAAGCTCAGAAAAGCGCTAGAGAGATCATAAGGGCCTAAAAGAAGTCTAAAGAGAGCCTGAGGAGATTCTAGGGAGAGCCTAGGAAGCCTGAGGAGACCTAGGAACATCTCTCCAGTCATCACACCCAAAAAAATACACAGCGTATATCTTGAAGACGGTATACGCAACACGTGTTGCGCTAGGTCAGGGCTAGATAATGTCGGTTAAAAGGCCAATGAAAGGGTCTAGGACAGCTTCGACGGCCACGGTCTAATTTTAGTTACATATTTTCGATCTCCCTAGTCTTTGAACCCTTAAAATTTTATTAAGCTCGTCGACATTTCAGTGAGTAATCCCGGACATAGTGAACAGACGATACATGATTCATAAATTGAGGAAAAGTAATTTACATAAATATTTCCATATGTGGTGACCAGTGGAAGGTTAAATGATTTACAATGGGATAATGAAAATGCTCAGGATTTTCTTAAGAATTTCATTTATAAAACTCAGAAGACATTCCATTAACTCTAGTGCAATATCACAGTTGGTGAGTCTTTTAAACAATATTTACATTGTGATGTTAAGGATCATCTAAGAGATTTGCATTAAGAACCCATTTAGCAGTCAGCTTGAGTGCAGCAATAATTGTTATCGATACTGCATGACTAACCCAGCTAATTCTAGAACATACCACTAGTCTCATATTAAGTAAGTAATACGAAGATTTCGGGAGATTCTAAAATAAGAATTCATTGACCTTTTTAAACATAAATTAACTATAGGTAAATTTCGTAGAACAGGTTTAACACATCAGCTGGACACTCTGTAGTTGGCTGTTAACAATGTTAATTGTTCTTCAAGCATACCGATTATCACAAACATGAACAGAGGAGAGAAACGAGAAGAGAATCAACTATCCTCCCTCTCTTATATGTGTGCGTAGAACCGAACTTAATATAGAAACGACGCGAGTTATGCTATTCGGCCGATCGTTATTACAAACGTGCGACTAGTAATAAAGGAACCTATAGCTATTGCAAAATCATTGTTCCCATTGATAGCGCCAGCCGCCGCTGCTAATCATTAAAACATGAGTCTGCTATGGGCAGGTGAATTGATTGCCTGAAAACAAAGGGAACTTCATATCCAGAAAAATTGAAGGTTAGGAAGATGAGAAAGAGGAATGTTAAATTACCTGCAAGATCGCGATTTAATGGATGCTGGAAGGTGGAACTGGCGCTGGAAGCTGGAAATAAATGGATCAGTTAACGAGGAAGAACAAGGAAGGATATTTTGTAGCAGATATCTACAGGGTGAAATTACCCTAGAGGTCTTAAAATGATAGGTTAGGGATATACACCCAGTCCGGGTAGTTTCAAGACATAACGCAAGATACGAGCCCTAATTTCGGACATCCGCATATCCCTAGTGTTATGCCTTTATGATATGTAAATCCTCTGAAGGATCTGCCCTGCGGAATCGTTCAGAACGTGAGGAGGAAGATGCCGTTAGCAGGTTTCAATTTCAACCGTTGCTTCCTCACAGTCAGCGCCACGATATATGACCGGCAATATGCGTCACGTGAATGATGATTTATATGCGACAAATGCGAGGAACGTTTTCTATTGATTTTCCCTTGAATCTCGTTCGATATAAGTGCATTATTAATGACGGGTCATACACGAACATCGGCCGGTCGTTACTTAAGATACAGTGGAAAATTTGAGACCTAGCACGGATTCGTTCGAACTGCCGGACCCTCGTTGATTGAGTCATTGATTTCGTACTCTGCCTTAATAGCTTCAGAATGTAGATTGAAAGCATCAGTTTCCAAACACTGAGCCCACCAAGAAATTGTGCATTTAATTTAACTTAAATGTCAGATGAAAATAGAAATGATTAACAATGCATGTGATAGGTGACAACTGTGGAATCATAAAGGAATTTTTATATTTGGACCGGTATAACTGTATACCGATGACAAAATGGAATGCCTTCTGATATAGAGCACAGAAATGTATAATGTGCAATATAGAAACTGAGGTGTTTGACCTGCGTTTAAAATAGCATTGCAAGTGCAATGTCGTGCTCACATTCAGTCAAATATAACAATAAAACGCTTTGCTGGTACATAAAATATCCGATGACATGGTACTACAAACGATTCATTTATCTACACATGCATTGTAACATATGCTCGACGCGACATAACCTATAATTTAAACTATCGATTTACAACGCAATTCATAGCAAATTGAGTGGTGCGATTCTTAGCGAAACACTGGATAATGTCGACAGTTAAAAGATAACGAGAATTGATAATTGTCATGCCTCAGTTTTCAAACCATAACCTATTCGTACTACATTTAAACGCGTATATAAATTTTTGTAGCGTTATTTTGCAATTGTGCAAACAGTTTATGATTAAACTCGTAAGAATCCGATAAATCAGCCAGAGTGAATGTGCCAAACTGATAATGATAATTATAGGAAACTTACTTGGACGTTGCTTCCCTGAAAGAAGCGTGTATAAATTTTCGAAATCGAGAAAATTGTCGTCGAGGACGAAAACTCGATAAGTACGTTAAACCGGTTACCAAGGATTCAAATGGTTCGCGTTTTCAAACCTGACACAAGGTTGGTTCCAGCGTGCAAAATTTTCTCGATAACGACTCGGCGGTTGTTACGCGCTTATCTTTTTCTTTTATCTAGTAACAGAATACTACGCTATGATAGGGGCATTATCGATTACAAATAATGCGAGTAAGCTTGTTTTTGCAAGAACTATCAAAATGGCACAAGGTACACGTCTGTGCTTAGTACGTTAGTACGACGATCAACGTAACTGAACGTCGAAAATGCGTTGTCATTAGGCGTGGGAAAGATTTTCGATTGAAAAAACATGGAATCACGCAATATCGCTGAAAAAATAATAGTGCACAACGTGTTGTTCTCGAAATTTTCGAGCGGAACCTATCTCGCGACGTTACAACGGTTCCCCTCGGACGACGTAGTTTGGTGGTAGCAACTCCTGCATTTTTACGAGAAAATATATCATTACAGACTTACCGAGAAGTGGCTCCTGCTTTTTCCTTGCCAGTCACAACTCAGCAATCAATTTTTCCCACAGAGATGCGAATAATTGTTTTCCTTTCGGCGGAGGACAGACACACAGTGGACAACAAGCGACAATCTCGCGAAAAAGTAGAGAAATGCAACTATCGCCTGAAGTTGGCGCAAACAACGGTCGATATTCAATATGGCTGCCGTTTCGATTTTTCTAGAGCACATTACGTGCCCACTGGTACCTGCTTCAACATCATTAGCGTCATCTACCTCATTTATTGATTTGATAATTAAATTTTAACGTTGAATGATTTTATGCACATTGAAAGGGGGATTTCTGTTTCAAACACACTGTAACATGCAATGACAGCAACAGGATGTCCGAGTTTTTACAAAAGATGGTTCGTATTTCAATTTGTGTTAACCTATATTTTTACATTAAATTTGAACATAATTTGGAAAAAATTGGTATAAATTACGTATACTATTCGTAAATATAATAAAATACTATTTAGCATAATGTTTTCTTGTCTAAATCGAACTTGTTCAAAATACGCGATTAAGTAATCGATGACAAAACAGAGACTTTCTATTGTTATAATTAAAGGAAGATCGTTTATAAAAAATAGAATGACTTTATCTAGCTATAATCGATTTTAATCAAAATCAATAATCGATTTTGAAAATCAAAATTGGCGTACTTATTTTGCGACATAGATAGTGACATCTATTAAGATGATGTTGAACCACGTTACTATTTTATTAGCAGTAAAAATGCAAAACATAATCTATAAATTAATTGTAGACATGTCTAATAATGAAGGAGGAGGATCATGTCTACTCGATATCGTTTTAATTATGAATTATGTACTCGTACCACCTGGTAAATTGTGATTCACGTTTGAATGACTGATAAATGGCGCCACAAAAAAGGCGGGATTATATTCAAATTTAATTCGAACTGTGCATACCAGGTGGCGCGAGAATTCAAATTAAATAATGCGAATAATTGAATAACCATTAATTATTACAGGTTTAAACCTAATCAAATTTTATATTTTTTAAACAATACAGAATACAGAACAATAAAACAATAAAAGATGTTATTTTAATTGCGTAATAGTGATGTTAATATTTGCAACTGAATTTGATAATTTTGTTCACAAATTGTTCACATTATCTCCCTCGTGAAGCGTGCTATATACTTCAACTATATTTTTCGTTTATTTTTTGTACGAAACAATGTTTTGAGTAACAATAGTTTTGAATTTTTTTCAGTTTCGCGCGGTGCCGCCTCTAGTGGCGCCACCAATCGGCAAGCGCCAATGTTATCATGGCCGCTGAGATGGCGCTACATGATTGGTTGACGCGCAGTAGCATGGCAGCTTCCGTTCTGCAAAGTGTTTTCAAAGAGCAGGTGAGCGTTTCGTAGAGAGCGTCACGACTCGTTGGACAGACCGGCGACGAAAAATATTGTACAAAGTTCCAAGTGTTGTGACCCGGTGTGTGACTGTGTGTGTGAGAGTGTGTCGCCGAACGTCGCCGTTCGATTTCACCTAGAAAAAAAGTTTTCGATTCTCGGGAACACCTTTTTATTTCACAAAGTGTGAACTCGTGCAGGGACGATCGAGGTAAACTTCCTGCTGGGAATGTTGATGGACTCGCTTCTCGTTCAAGCATCCTGCCAAGAGGTGGGTAAGTTTTGTCGATCTTTTCGCCTCGTTACACGGCACGCCGTACCGCGTATGTCGTTTTGTAACGGTCATTTTCCGACCGCGTCAACCCAGGCCGTAAAGAAGTCTCGAGTCGCGGCGAAATTAGTTTTTTTTTTAAATCTTTATGAATTTTATGATCTGAACTACTTATATCGTAATCAGCTTGATTTTCTTCAAGTCCTGCCGCAAAGGACGGAAGCGGTACTGGCCGAGTGACATCTGCATCGAGTTGGACGTATCCACGAATGGCGGTGCGAATATCGATCCTGAAGTCTCCGGTCTGAGGCTGTCTCGCTTTCGAGGTCACCGGGACTTCATTCGCAACCCTCACTCTCGATTTCGATATCTTTGCCCACGATTTTCCTTTGCCATCACCTACAACGCCCTTTTCTTTCACGCTCCTGGATCATCATCTTCCCCTCTACGATGCCACAGCACGATAACCGGTAATGATTGCTAACATCCTGTCGCTGTACGGGAGTAGGAAATAGCGATGAACAAGGAATGTAACCGTAACACTTGGAACCCATAAAGCTGAGTACACAGTTATCATTGTTTGAATACCAAATATTGTAGTTTCTATTGGTGCTTGTACAGTACCATAAATTCATTGTTACCGAAATGTAAAGTTTATTCGGTAATTGTCGCTTACATAGACATTTGACTAACGCCATTTGACCGCTTACAAAGCAGTCTCATTAAATTTAGAAAGCTTGAAATCCTTAAATTCTAAAATTTTTAAAAGAGTTCTGTTTGCACGGTCTCATCTGACGCCATATAGCGAGACCGCACTAGAAATCGAACCACACAAATCTGTATTATCCGTGGAACTTTGAAAACTACAGAACTTTCGCCAGTTCCAAAGTTGTTTCAAATAAAGAAGGTCTCAAGTGGCCTCGTACCGCAGTACGGTTTTCGACAGGAAACCTTGAAGAAAAGATTAACTGGTACAGTGACCTCGGTTATATACGAATTTTGGCGCATAGCTTACATAAGTGATCACGGAAATTGTCGAAAGTATGTCCTATTTACTGTGACGCAGGAAGAAGCGTGGGGAATGCAGACGTTCGATTCGAGTCAAACGATATATCGCTACTTACGATCACCTTGACCGTGGTGTTAATCCTTTCGTGACCGTTAAGCCTCCTGTGTCGTAACTTTGAATTTTATTTTCATCTTTCAATATAAATCTCCAAGTGAATACTGCTTGAGGATTAAATAAAATTCAAATTTTGTTTTAATATTTATTGCGATAATGGCTAGAACATATTAGGAACGTTTATCGATATTTGAATTGTCGTATCATTTTATTATCGATATGGGGATCGAGAAATTGATGCTTCTATTATTTAATTCATCCTAAAATTGGATCGAATTTATCTTACTATCAATTTTCTTTTTTACTAGTGTTGTCTGTGAGAAGATCACTGGCTAGTTTTGTGGTTCGTCATTGTGAACACAGTCGATATTTACTCAGTCGAACGAATTCGATTTTCAAGTTCGATTCACAATGGCTGCCGCTGAACAACGCGGGAAGAGATCGAGGAGCCGCTGGGGCTCGATGGACAATTAGACACAATGAAGAGATATTTTCTGGACTAAATTTTAGACGAGTATTTCGCTTATGTTATAACTACATTCTAACGCAAGAAGGAACCAAATTATTCGTTGCAACACTAATCTCTGGTTTGTGCTTATCTCATTCCTTTTTCCTCTTTTTCCGTGTACTGACAATTCTTTCTCTGCTAACCAAGCCAACGTCAGCGGTCGTTATTTATTATTTTCTAACCGCCTTCGTTAATCGGTTCGGTTATTAAGTCCCCAACAAAGCTTTTTATCGGTTGTGTCGCGTTTTGTAACGGTACTTTTATCGCGCACAAACAGCGATTATGACGAAACTAGAAAATTAATGTAATCTATTGCACTTATTTCTCAACTTCATTTTTAAGCAATGTATTCTGTTTTTAGGGTATAGAAGGAGGATTCAGAACAGGAATGAGAACAGAAGTAATTAACTAAAAGAAAAAATTGTCTTTCGCAAGTAACGTTAGAACTTTAAGCTTGAATCTCTAAAAAGTCGACCAATGAAGGTTAGGGACGCATTATTTCGCAAGCGATTCTAAATCCGACCTTCATAGCTTTCTTCCTTTCTAAATATAAAAGTTCATAGATAATTTTAAACCTTGAAGACATGGCTGATAAATTCCGAGTTATTTTGATTTAACAAATTATGCGTATAGGGATGTTACATTTTTAGGACGTTAAACGATAAGAAAGAAAAATAGTAAAAAAAACGAAGTATCGCATTGAGGTTAGATTATGCTTATTTATAATATTTGTATTCATTTTTTTCGAGAGTGATACTGACCGACGATAACTAAATGAGACTAATTAAATGACCAGTGTTTTCGAAAATAGCATTTCTTGTAATATTATCGATATATTCAGACGTAGTTGGCTAGTGTCGAAATCGGTGCAAGATATGTAATATCGTTAAGCAACGGAAGATTTCAGTAAACATCGTTAAGATCTCATTGTTGTTATTTGTGCGTGATTACGATTATTTCGAGATTAGTTTTACGCATTTTGTATCACGATTCTCGGTAAACACGCGAGATTATTGAGAAACCAACGAACGAGCGTGGTCAATAATCTCTCGTTTTAGATCTCGAATTTCTGCCTCCTGAGTTGTCCATCATTTCACCGAAATTAAAGTCTTGGGTTTCAATCCACTCTTTCTGTAAACTTAACTTCACTCGATATTTATTGTCATGCATTTGAAATCATGGATTATTCGATTCTAAAATGTTCTGTTGCTTGTAACGATTTCATCAATTCTCATCGTTTCTGTCAATTGCATAAAATTGCACAAAGGCTTTTTATTATTGGTTCTGAAGATGTACATGTATTAGATATGTTGCGTCGAATACACCGCATCGGCGCAGTGGTTTTCTGCGCATGTCGAAATCATTTTTATTGTAATTTTTATTTTTCTTTTTTTATTTTCGTGTAGCTATTATTTCTTCATGTAATTTAAGTGTACTTCAAACTCTTAATAACTTCTTTTTACCGAATAATTAACATATGATGACTTCAGAGGCTGATTCCTAGCAACTTCGTCGTAGTATATCGATTTGCATCTCTATTCGTGGCGTAACACGATCAAAATTATCGTGTTCGCGATAATTGTTGCGATTTTATCGAACAGTTATATAATATCGATCGAATGCGTGCAAATTAAGATTAGTAACTCTTTCGATTTCCATTAACGTAGAGCGATATCGCGTTAAATATGATCGATAATATAACAGGTCTCAATTTTGCGATAAGGCAGCGAGTCAATAGCCTGCAGAAACTTTCGAACACGTGTACCTACTAGAGCAGCCGAAAATACTGCGACGATTTTCAGGTTGTGCTAATTCCGAGCTCTCTGTGGCTCCGTCATAAATTCGTGGCTAGCGTTGCGTAAAAGCTGATCCGTGTTCGCTTTGAATCGTTGGAAAAAATTCCTCTCTGGAATAGAAAAAAAATTCAATACTTCAGTACAGAGAATTATTTCTAACGTGCATGTTAAGTGGAGTCTCGCTATATGGCCCACTCGCACACTAGGTTCTTCGTTGCTGTAGCGTTAAGACAGATTTAGAAATGTCAGACTTTCAAATTCATAAAAGTACAAATTTTTTAATTTCTTAATTTAGAAAAATCAAGTTGAATTTCTACATGTGTAATTCTTTTGAATAGTAGGTATTGTAAAACTCTGGCAATTTGGTGAGAATCCTTGCATCTTCCAAGCCGATCGATTGACCGTTTGAATTTCGGACGTTGAAATAAGTATTCAGAAGAGAGCACGTATAAATACCAATGTTTGACGTCATCGCAATAACGTTTCCACCGAAAGATTTATTTTCGATCGATTGTTAATTCATCAATTTTTATTTTAGGTTCGAACGGCCTTTATTTTAAGCACGAAATTAGTTCAGCGAATGTATTTTTCACCGCTTCGCTATGATTTGGCAGAAAAATGTTCTGGAATGTAAAGAATGTGCCAGCGTACCAAGAAAATCGATAATCCGTTTTTTTTCGCTTAACGAAGACACTCGAAGATATCGGATAACCGTTGCTCAGAAGTATTGTGTGTTCAGCGGAATTGTGCGGTAACCAGGCGAAGTAAAGATTTTTTATTTTAGCTAGAGTTTGTCTGACGGTTGACCTGGAAAACGTGGGAAGCGTTATAATTTTTTTAAATGCCATGCCACGTTTATTCCATCGACTCTTACATGAACAATGTTTTCGCTTGTTCTAGTAAATCCTCCAGCGCAGCTTTTGCGAGATTCATCCTCGGCGATTCCGCGTCTGTTCCCTTCGCATTGACCCAATTTCTGTGTCGCACACGCGAGGCCTGGATATGGGTATTATTATCCCAGCCCACGCTATTATTCCACGATAAATCCATCCGATTCAGCCACGAGGCTTTGCTTACTTCTTTATTCGTTTATTCCTCTTTCTCTGATTTCTATGAAGTTACCTGTTATCTGGGAACTGAAGCAACTTGATCTGTAGGATCTTCTTACCATTATTTTTGATCACTTGTATCCTTATCTAATTGTTTTACTCTTGCAATGAAATATGTAATATTCTTGCTAAAATGAGGAAACTACTAAAACTTGCTAAGATGTTAAGTTGGTAATGGGTGAGATAAGTGTTGGTTTTGCTTTAACAAAGATACACAAGTTTGCAATTAAATATACAAATGCTTTTTTGCAGTGCGGTAGGAATTGTTAGTGAAGATACTGGAGTTTATATCAATGTGAACCTCCTTCCTGTGTAACAGATTTCCCTGCAAGCGAGTCGGGAACCTCGTGTCCTCCTCTCGATGGTGTACGTGCGTATAAACCTGCACCAGTTGCGTCGCGAGGCTCGCGGTTAGTCCACGTCAGTTACGCCTGGATCCTCGTTGAGGTAACATCTCTGATTTCGACGACATGATCCACGTTTCCGTCCATTGTCGATTGCCTTTGCTTTTCCGCCGGTTGATCACGTGATAGAGACTCGACCAGTGTCTAAAGGTGTGCGTTATCAGTGATTCCAGGTGTAATTGGTGTCGCGAAGTGGACCAGAAACGAATGAGGAGAGGAGAATGCATGAAACCATCAATCATTTCGAAGAGGTCAGATTTTCTTTCTAATCAGTCTTGCGATTTGGGTGTTGCGTCGGCTGCACTGTGGTTTATTTAGTTCTTACTTGACCGGGATGAACAAGTGGTGGCTCGTGAGCCACATTCGGCCACCAACCCTACTTTCCTGCACTGTGGAACAATCCTCGCCATATTTACCACTTCTTTTCATACAAAACACATTTCTGGTTTATAAAAGGTTGTAATCCTCGTCTAACATACCTCATTCATCCAGTAAATTTCTACATTTTCACTTTTCCAAACCTAAAAATTTTTCATTTTCCAGATTTTCAAATCCCATCATATCTTCTTAAGTCTGTAATCATCACATTTGCTATACTACAAGGAATGATTGATTAGCACAAGGAGTGATTGGTACGAGAAAGTATTTTGAAGTGAAAGTGATTGGCAACTGAGTGAAATTTTGGATTTTGGACAAGCAAGAGCAGTGAACTCATTGCGTTGGAATGTAGTTGATCATTCGGTTCCGGTTTCTTCTATACAGATGGTCGTAGAAATGACACCATCTGTGATATACATATGCGATACGTTATAACTCAACGCCACGGTAATTATTTTTTATCGTTTAATTGTACACAAGTACACTTGTGAAGTACTTGTAGAGTAGGAAAGAATCGGACGTGATTTTCTGTTCAGGTATCTGATATCCGACGCTGAAAGTTGGTGACGATATTGCTTTTTTATCGATCGCTCTTTCCTCGTAACTGAGAAACTTAACACTGTCTTCTTTCGCTTAATAGGCTACTTCAACCTAGTTCTAACTCGATAAGTGCAAGTTAAAAATGAAAAGAGAAGCTTCCTTAAAATAGTTGTTCTTAAAACCAACTCTCGAGTTTACAGAGGTAACAAAATTTTCCAGCCAAGTAGTTTGCACGGTGCAAATTGATATTGTGTTTTTAATATTCTGTTTTGCGTGACGTATTACGTAAACGTGTGATCTTGTTGTTGCCGAGATTATCCGTGACTCGATTTATCGTTTCGTGATAGCTAGCTAAAATTCCGTAACCGTATTAGACGACCGTGGTCGGGATACCTTTTAAGTACCTCCCGTTCAATGCTAGTCTCGTCAAACCTTAGCTCGGTGCACACACTCGTGTCGAATTATCCGTCGCTGCTTTTGCGGCCGTCCTTACACTTCTCAAAGACACCTGTTGCTTCTTTTCTTTTTTCCTCAGCCCCTTTGGAATCGTTTAACCACTCAACCGGTCCGAGAGCCGACCGATTAATCGGGAAATGAGAAAGGGAAAGCCTTTGAAGAGGAATAATTTCACCAGACGTTGGAATTGCTTTGTCTCGTTACCTCCACTGCGAGATCTATTCGACTACTATTACTGTCCATTTTTCTTGTTGGAAGATTACGTAGGACAGTTGACGCTCATTACGATTTATGTATTCCTCGGGTCTTATGCAATACATAGCACTCGGATGCAATGTAAACATTTTTTATTAAGAGGAAAGATACACATAGGTGTGTTAGCTTGTCTTGGATTTTTGGAGAATTCAAGAGAAGTCTGAGGAAACCCTATAAAGGTTAGGAAGACCTAGTTAGAACCTAGGAAGTAGGAAGATGAATTTCATTGGATTTTAATTTGTTGTCATAGGAATTAACTCGTGGTTTCTGCAGAGGTCAGATAATCATCTTTTTATAATTACCTCTAAATTTAAACGAGTGATATATAACATTGACCTATGTGTACGTGACATTTTGCTCTTATGCTCTAGTTAAGGTATGAGGTTGAAACGTCGTCCTAAATACTGTAGGTTAATGTAACCTATATAAATTGTGCACAACACGTGGCAGGAAATCCTTTGGGCGTCAAGCATTATCTCTATTGATTACGCCGTTTGGTCTCCTCGTTACATCAACGAAGCTGTCTTAATGAATGCAATCGTACACGTTAACACAATCGTTTTCTCTATGGTCAATAAAAATTCGACGCGTTAACGAGTTTAATTAAGACCGATGCTGTGAACTGGGACTAATGAACGTCGATAAACAACGTGACGGAGATTATGTAATGTGAACCGTTGCAAAACGTATGCGTTGCATGTAGGAAGTTATCCGGTCGGTCGACCGGTTGGCGGCCATGTCAAGGCACGTGCTCTCTCAGACGCGTAAAAATACCTGCTCTTGACAGTGATCACGACCGGCGTCGGCGCCGAGAACATTAAAAAGAAGGTATCGCTTTTCCAATTGTCGCATCTCGTACCATATTGTATATCACATAACGTTCGTATATTTTTTAGATAAAAGGACGAGTTTCCTTTGAGCGGTACGCCGAGAAATGATGCCGTTTTTTTTGTACAAGAAGCTCTACCATCATGCTAACAGCACATCCCTGAGTCGTTTGAAAAATTCTGTTGCAAATATTATTTAGACTTGCACAACGGAAGCGCCTACGAGACAATCAGAAGGCCGTCGTTGGCTGCCAGCAGAAAGTCAATGAAAAAGTGACGAGACAGTTGCGAAGGAGGGAGCTAAGACAACGTTCTCTTCTTGTTCGCGCGCGCTGCTGTAGTCTATCCGTGGCTTTCGGGCGCGAAACGCACACAGGTCATCGGTGTCGTGTTCCCGTCAAATCCGACACGTGCGTGGCTCACATACCGTTCTCTGTGATTACCATTCGGCCTCACGGCCTTAACTCCCCACTTTCTTTTGCTCTCGTATTCGACATACAACCACTGCCAACATGCTGATCTCCAGAAGCACGTGACACGTTTTTCTCCTCCCAATAAGAAATCGTGACGAATTACCCTTCTTTGTAATTTTTTCTATTCACGGTTGGAAAGGCTTCTCTGAAGCAATCTGCGTTATGGTATGTTTGTCGTACTTATTTTTATACTTTTATTGTTCTTGTCATTTCGCGTAAATACCATTGTATGGTAACAACTGTGTTGCAACGATGGAGTCTTTGGTGCGAATAACAGCGTTATTATTGGGAGGCTAGTCAAGGTTGTTTATTGACAATGTAAATATTTGCTCGTTCATTAATATAATTGCAGAGTGCAATTTTCACTTTAACTAAATTGTGCCATTATCAATTCAAAGAACAAAATGGTTGGTCCGTCATTATATTGTAATGTAGTGTTTGTAATCACTCGTGTGACCTTTAGTAATCGAAACCATAGTTTCTTGTAGTAAGTGTCCCATTTTTTCTTGAGTCATTGAACGGAAACTTTTCATTGGTATTTGGAATTGATTAGAGGCTTCTGTTTCTGTGAATCACCCAACAGATAAGGAGTTCCATCATGAGGTTTCCTCCTCGGCGCATCACGTGATTTTCCAGTCGTCAGATTATCGTTTTCTGCCAGCAGAATTGTCTTCCTAGTTCAAATATTCCATTCTGTTAGCCGTGTTACCTTTACGAAAGCCTATAAGACCCTACCCGGTATTATGTAATGTCGAGTTTCATAAGAATGAGATACATTCATGCCAGAAAAACGTTGTGTTGTCGTTTCGCTTTTATAGCGGCTAGGGAGGAATATCCGTAGCTCGAAGTCGAGCCTTATTTTTGGAACTGTTCTTTTTCTCGTCGGTGAAACATCAACGACACACCGAATCGGGTTATCGGCTTCATAGAGCTGGCACGTTCACCGACTCTCCTACACACGCATATATCGTTACCGCATTATTTTCTGCGTCAAGTTCTCGAGCAGCTTGACCGTGAAAAGTGAGTGTGGTAGTGTCAGGTTCGTTAGAGCCATGCGAACGATACGTGATGTTTCTATATGTACTCGTACGCACTCGAGAATTTTATCAGATTCCTTGCTTGTTCTGCCAACGGAGATATCGCTGCCACGTGCACATTTTTCATTTTTAATGTTGCATAAATGGAAAGCGAATGCTGTTATGGTTTTAACGGATCATTACGTTATGTTGACGACCCTACTATCGTGAACTTACGCAATGCGAGATGAAGCTGTGCAAGCGAAAGCAACCTTTCTGCAGTGCGTGCTGATATACAATATCACTGATAACCCTGGGTCTGCGATTACAGTAAATCTCTGTATTGAAATCGTGCGTCACATAAAACAACTCAGAAAAAATCAAAATCACAATTCTTGCAATGATAGTTTCCCAATTCTTCATTCCCTTGACGCATCAAGACTATGTTAGAAATTTCAGCGGTAAACGCCATTCGTGGAACGTCATCATTAACGTTAAGAACATTCCTGTGAATGTAATCTGAAGTAAATAGATAAGTCTGCTCACTGATATTAATCTGGGGATTGTTTGATTTCCAGGGTTCCGGATATCTAAAACGCGCGAACACTGAACGGCTCCATGAAATATTTAATCAGGTAAACAACGTTTGTTTGCTGTAAAAATAACTCAGGATGACACATAACGGAATTTAATTGATTGTTACAGTACGCCTCACAAGAAAAGAATGGCGAGAGGTTTATGACCGCGTCTGACTTCGTACGAAGTTACCTTGGACTCTACACGAATCCCGATTACAATCCTGATTCCGTTAACTTGCTCGCCGGTATCGTTGATACCAGTAAAGATGGGTTTGTATCAACAGCATCCTCTTCAGCAAATACTGTCTTAGCAGTTTCAAGATTCCATTGAATACTCGCTAATTAAAGCGGAAAACTTAAGAAGCTTTAATTATGTCATTAAAACTTTCAGACTCATATCGTTCGCCGAGTTCCAAGCGTTCGAAGGGCTGCTCTGCGTGCCAGACGCTTTGTACAAGACAGCCTTCCAGTTGTTCGACACTAATGGAAATGGAATGGTTGCGTTTGGTGAGTAGAATCTCCAGGAAACTTCAAACTTTATTTTCATTAATCTGTACGAGTTAATTTTTCGTTTCGCAGACGAGTTCGCTGAGGTGATGCTGAAAACGGAATTACATCAAAGGATGCCGTTCAATATGGAAAGCAGTTTGATCAAACTTTATTTTGGGAAGGACAAGAAGCGGTTGATCAACTATGCTGAGTTCAGTCAATTCTTACACGTACGTTCCTCTCAATTGGTCTTCATTGCCTAAATGGCTCCCGAAGAACGAGCATAATATAAATAGATTCTAATAAAGTCACTTATTTAAGATGTAGCTAAAAATATAACCATTCAACTTCCTCAATGTTTATTTGGTAACTAGCGTTCATCTGGATCCAAAGATCCCATAGTAATGCTTGCTTACTCATCGCTCATCAATTCCTCTAGGACTTCCACGAAGAGTACGCAACGGAGGCTTTCAAGAAATTTGACAAAGACGGTCAAGGCTTCATTTCACCGCTAGATTTCGAAGACATAATGCTCAGCATCAAGAGCCACTTGTTAACCAGGGACGTGAGAGACAACTTGGTCGCGGTACGTTATCGATCCTGTCGTCTCCTTCCTCGAGGAGCCAGTGCGAGCTGATGAATTCGATTATTTAATTGCAGGCTGCTAGTACTGGACAGACTGGACGTAAAGTGAGCTTTCCATACTTCATGGCGTTCAATTCTCTCTTGAATAATATGGAGCTTATAAAACGTATTTACCTGAATGCTACAAATGGCCATAGATTTGAAGAGGTTACCAAAGGTAACGTCATAGTTGTAAACGGTGACGAGTGAAAGATGAACTTCTACTAATTTTGATCATTTTCAGAGAGGTTCCTTCATTCCGCACAAATGATGTCGCAGATCACGCCGCTGGAGGTGGACATTCTCTTTCAACTTTGCGACCTGCTCCATCAGACTGGGTGAGTATCTAAGACACCAAGCTCGACATCAGATCGAGCAGAAAGTTCACGTGGAACCGTGAACAATTCTCAGCCGCAAACAGAGAATGACTAACCTTCCACGCTGACCTGGTCAACGAGAAGCAAAACGAGATTGAAATAAAATGAAAATGTTGCATGTTAAATGCTATCGTTGCACCAGTCAGTAACACGCATCATCGTCATCATCCAAATGTCGAGTGTTTTTGGCAAAGGAAGATGGAGAGTCCCCTAGCCCCTCTCTACCGGGACAATATTCATTTTTAGTCGCCATTTACGTTTACCAAACATAACGATAAACGTTAAAGCTTTCCATTATACTCTTTCCGATCTTCAGCGAGCGTCAAATAAAGTTCCTATCATTGAATGTATTTGTTTACGTGTTTACGCTGCCTGGATCAGGTCTACAGAAGATGACGAGGCAGAATCGCGGCTTGGGTGCGTCTTTGTATTACAAGAATAATCACGTGCTATGAATTTGTTATAACGCATTCGCTGGCCTCGCGCGAAAGCAATGGGAATCTCTCTAAAGCACCGGAACAGAGAATTTAGAGAACCTTTCAAAGAATTAGTCAAGGGATTATGTTCTCAAAGGATTATCAAAGGATTTTCCAAGCTTGTGTAACAGAAAAGGGAATAATTAGAGGTCTGCTGATCGACCCGAATCTCGGAAAGTTCGTACAAATTCTGGACTCTTTAAAAAAAGTACTCGTGAAAGAATTATGTGGAGCTTTATAAATGAAAGAAAACCGTTTCTAAATTCCACGTTTGTAGTCCTTTAGAAGGAAAATTCCCGTTGCTTTTGCCACTGTATTTGTCTGTACATAAATCGATAATACCACTGGTTTCACCTACTTTCTTCAGCATCTATCTTAGGACGATGGTATTTGCAAATATTTGCACACCATGGGCACTAACGATTTCCATTTGTCCCGTTCAATGCTATGACAGATTTAAGGTTGCGTGTTAAGGGTACTCTATCGGCAGGATATATTTTTAGAATCGCTCGAAGCAGTGCCATCAACGTTATTTATTAACGAGTATCCAACTCCCCTCTTCTTCTACCTCTTTTTTTATTCTTCTATCTGAACATCTTTTCAAACAAAAAAAGGAAATGATCTCGCATTAACTAACCCGCCATTCCACCATGTTCCTCAAAAGTTTCTTTTATTGCTTTTTTTAACGCCGCGACAGCAACGGTCTACGTATTGAGCACGCATTTTCTCGGGTTTCAGGAAAATTGTATACAATGATCTCGTGGCTATTACACCCGAGCAGTATTTCAAGCAAATTACAAAACGCCTTGCCGAGATTAAGGCGGTGTCGGTAAGTGTGGTGACAAGAAGATTGATGCCGGTTAGATGGCACCAGATTATCCTGGGAACAATGTAACAAACAATTACCAAACTGTGTGTCGGATACATTGTTCAATATAGACAGTATTCTTCTATTTCAGAGCCCGGAAGAGCGCGGCGTGTTCGTCCAGATACTCGAGAGTGGATACCGATTTGTCTTAGGATCTATTGGTGGAGGTACGTTCAATTACCTTGTTATCGTTAACGTTTTTTATTACAGTGACTCAAGACAACTGTTAAGGATATTTTAAGGATTATTAAAGATGTAGATATCGCGTCTTGGATGATGACGACTTGCTTGGTGCCGACTTGGGTTCCTCCTCATGGTCATACAGGATGCCTCAAGCAAAATGTACACTTGTGTAGGATTACTTTAGATAAAAATTTAGAAGAGCATAGTCCAGATCTTCTCAGGAAGATCTTAAAGTCTAGGGAGAACTTAGGGAAAGTCTATTTATTAGGAAAATCTTAGTGTAATCTCAAAGTATACTTTTATTGAGGCAACCTATATCTAAGTACATGTTGACTCAAAGGGCAACTAGTTGCGGACCGAGACAGGTACAGTTGAAAGTAAACGTTCGATGAATAATGTTTTCTTTAGCCGTTGGCGCAACAGCCGTGTATCCCATTGACTTGGTGAAGACGAGGATGCAGAACCAAAGGACCGGGTCCCTGGTCGGCGAGCTGATGTACAGGAACAGCTTTGACTGCTTCCAAAAGGTTGGAATCGAAAAGTCTCGCCATGAAACACTGTCTGCATTGTTAATCATGAAGTTGGTATCTTGCGTTTGACAGGTCATCCGGCACGAAGGTTTCTTCGGCCTTTACAGAGGTTTGTTGCCTCAATTGATGGGCGTGGCGCCGGAAAAGGCCATCAAGTTGACGGTTAACGACTTTGTCAGAGATAAGTTCATGGATAAGAATGGCAATTTACCCCTTTTCGGGGAGATTATATCCGGTGCTTGTGTAAGTCTTCCAGAGATATTATTTTCTACGTTTTATGCCTTTTAACACCGTTGTCGGTAGTGTATTATTACCCCATAAAATTGCAACGTTACCGAGATATTCTGTTTGATTTTTAGGCAGGCGGTTCTCAGGTGATATTCACGAATCCTTTGGAAATTGTAAAGATCCGGCTGCAGGTGGCTGGTGAAATAGCAGGGGGCTCCAAAGTCAGGGCGTGGACTGTCGTTAAAGAACTAGGTGTTTTTGGTTTGTACAAAGTGAGTAGTTCCTGTCGGCTCGAACGTGATCGACCAAATTAGGTTTGAACAAGAGCTTTTATTCACTTCACTGACGCTACATGCGTACACATGCTCGTCCCGTTTTAGACAGCTACAACTGAATCAACATTAAGATCTCGTTTCCTCGTTCCAGGGCGCAAGAGCTTGTTTCTTAAGAGATATTCCATTTAGTGCAATTTATTTCCCAATGTATGCACACACGAAGATACGATTAGCGGACGAAGGAGGGTACAATACGCCTCTGTCACTTCTCGCTTCCGGTGCGATCGCCGGCGTCCCTGCAGCAGCGCTGGTCACTCCTGCAGACGTAATAAAAACAAGACTACAAGTAATATTTCTACTTCCTTCTACAATTATGCACTCTACTTTTCTTCCACGTTCTCCAACATCGTGTACGTGCATTCCAGGTTGTAGCCAGACAAGGTCAAACAACATACAACGGATTGCTAGACTGTGCAAAGAAAATCTACAGGGAAGAAGGTGCCAAAGCGTTCTGGAAAGGAGCTACAGGTATAACATTGAATTTTTACGTATATTCTTGAACTGTCTCAGTTCAATTTCGAGTAAAAAACGCGTAGGGTGTGCGATATTTATTTTAAGTTTCACATACAAGAAAGTTAGTAATACATTTTGATTTGGTCGATTGCATGCGGGGGGTCGTCCCCTGGCCGCATCTTTCGACTATTCTTTCTCCCCAATATGACCTGGTGACTTGCTTCTAAGTGAGTACATCTTTTTCTCTCTGCCTGCCAATAATAATCCGTGATGTTTCAGTTACCCTTTGTTCTTCGTTTTTTGTTCTCGTAACGTTGTGTTCTTTAAATAGGTTCACACTGATCTTGTTTTGAGCAGACTGCTGGTCGAAACAGTAATTACATCGCACGGTTTATCCTCACGTAACTTACGTTTACTTCATTTCTTATTATTTGCAACTAATAGTTGTCGTTCAGTTCATTAGGATGAAGTGTGTCTTGAAGTTTGAATGAATGATATCATCTTGTCGAATAATTGTACGTGTATGTACACTGTCAGCATAGATGGCTTAAAAATTATAAGGGGAAATAGTGATAGGTGTCTCCTTATCATTCCTGCAAGCCATCTATGTATTCAAATTCATAATCAGAGTCATAACATTCATTGTTATCAAAAGTAATTCACGTTCTTAAACGTTGAAGTTCAAATCTTTATTCAGACAAAGAACACGAGATATTGTGTGCAAGTGTTAACGATCGAGTGAACAATTTTTATTGACTTTCTTTCTCTGTTTTGCAGCCCGAGTGTTTAGATCGTCACCCCAGTTCGGTGTCACCCTCTTCACCTACGAGTTACTACAGAGGCTGTTCGTGGTCGATTTCGGAGGATCGTGAGTACACATTAAAAATCAGTCGATCGTTCATCATTTTTCTTTTTTCAAAATGCATTATAACAATCGTTTCAACAAATTGTTTGCTAACTACACTTTGTCCAAATTATGGTGTGTGTATGGATTGTCACGCAAATCTATCGCTGTATGGCGAACAAACTATTTATTTTTATGTGTTTTTACATCTTCATTGACGAACTGTTCTTTTGTTTGTCTTTGACATGCTAATCTCATTGCGGTTAAACATCGTGTGATTAATTTGCATGCAAATTATAAAATGATTTGGAACCGTTTGTTTTGTTGGTAAGTACATTCTTGTGCTTTCTCTTCTTTTGTTTCTCTTTTCTTGTTTTGTTCATTGGAACTCATTGCTTGTGCCTTGTTTTACCTGGTTTACCTGGCTGCCGTTTATTTCGCTCGGGATACCTGTTTTAACATCTTCTGCCTGTTGTCAACTGTTTATAACAGTTACAAATATTTATTGTGATACTCAGAATATAGTAGGCTCTTGTTATATTGCAATTAAAGAAGGGCAGAAGATGTTCTCAGGAATTTGTCCAACGAATAGTGAAGTTTCCTACGAAAATCGCTTGCATCCGCATCAGAAGGCTGTTTCCATCATAACAACACAAACTGTTGTTTCCAGTCGACCTTCCGGGTCCGAGCAAAAGGTACCGGCAACAGGAGTAGCGAAAGAGATACGTTCGACGAACCCGGACCACATAGGTGGCTACGAAGTCGCTCTGCCCATCTTCACCGGCATCGAAACCAAGTTCGGTCTCTATCTACCCAGATTCCAAGCCGGTCGAAACGGAAAGTAACGGTCGTCGAGTTAGCTTCCGCTAGAAAATTAAGCTTGTAGCGACAACCCCGTCATCAACAGAACTGCGCATCGAGTCGCCGAGTACTCAACCGACTGTCCAAGACCAACGAGTACGAGCTCCACAGAATCTACCGACCTAGCCAAACCTGGTCAAAGCTTAGTCAACGATCAAGAGTCTTCAATCGTCGTTGATACCCGGATCTTCCAGGCCCGAGACTTTCTTGTCGAGGGATCCATTTCTAGGACGCCAGCGTCCCTGAACATTTGACGGACAATGCCATCTTCCTGGAAGCGATACGGGACAGGAGTGTTATATTAAAAGGGAACATCGAAAGGATTCTTGACGACAGAAATGATATCAAAGATCTCTGTAAACTCGTAAAACAGGGAGCTGTATGAACATATGGCAACATCTAGGAACCTCAGTATGGACAGAGCATCGCTAATGCGCACAACCCCGGTGACGATCCTCCAGAGAGGACACTTCGCCGCGATAGAACAGCAGGAGGAACAGTAACACAGGGTTTAGACAAGATACTTGGTGCTGTCCAGTGGGAAACTAGCCTCTTGCACACATGATCGTTTGTCAGAGTCTACAAATCGAATATGTATTTATAGTCCTTGGAGAATAAAGGAACGAAGTATCAGATCCTTGGATATGTATCTTACGGCTGGTAAGTTGGCAGCCGAGACGAATGCGGGCTCGATTGGTCGCAGCGGTATAAGCCAATTTACTCAGGGGTAGTAGCATCATATCACAACGTGAATGGATCTCGTCAGAGTTAGCATAGTTGGTAGAGATCAGCTTTACATTGGCAACTTGGTGTTGCCATTGGTAAACCTGGTCTCCGATTCCAGAGTGTCAAAGATAGGGGCAGGTGGAACAAGTGGTTTACTACCCGTATCCCACCCCACATGCCAACTTACCAGCCGTTCTATTGTAAGCGATATATGTATCTTTAATCAAAGAACGCTAGAACCAATCAGAGATAGAGTAAGATAAAAATTTGCGAATATGGAGGAATCTATTGGGAAGTGTACATAGCGGAACCCCGTATAGATTGATGGGCAGCACCGAGTCGAGATAGAGACAGGGAACACGATTTAACTTAAAGATATTATTGAAAATTCTCAATAGCCTCTTTAATCTTACGTTCACCGATCTGCGCAAGTGTGGAGCTCGAATGGTTGACCAGAAGCAGATACGTTAATCTTTGTACACGTAGAAACACCTTTCGTTAACGATCCTATGCTGCCTCACCTTTTGCACTCTACTTTTAATTGATCGGTTCGACAACTTAGCTTATGAATTATATTGCTTGTCGCTTCAGCAGAAATTTCGCGTGTTCTCATACTTGTTTAGACAAATAAGGGTGCAAAGGGTACAAAAGAGAGAGTGAAAGAGTTGGTACGCACTTTTGAAGGCTTGCTTTGCCGGTGGCACCTTACTTTTTCTACTTTTTATATGCGATCGAAACTGAAGCTTGTTTGTACGCGGTTCCCAAGAGTTTACACTATTTTTGTAGGTTTGTATTCGATAGTAGACAAGTTTCAGACATAGTTTGCGTTCACTCGTCCGCTGGATATTGTAATATTCACAGCATGTTTCCAAATTTCCCGTAGGATTGCTTCAGAGATTAGCCTTTCTAGTCGTGACTACCATTTGCTTTCCAAATCTCTCTGACACGTCATCAACTTACCGTGCGCTTTGGTTTCATTCGAGGTTCAGTATATGTACATACAGAGTAGAGTCGAAGATTTCTTTATTAAATTTATTCGTATTGGATTCGTTCGTAGAGATTATTTTTGAAATTAAAGGCTCTCAGTGTTCGAAGAATTTGATCTTGTCAAAAGAGGTTATAGTTTTTGTACTGTGGTGTTTTTGCTTTTGTATATTTGGATGCTGTCTGGGTTTTTCTCGAGTAAGGGTAAACGTAGGGAGTTGAACACCCCACTTTGGTCTTGGGAGAACCCTACTTCCTTTGAGTTTTTTGGATCTTCCATTTGGTTCCAGATTCTCCTCAGTTGTCATTCTTTTAAGTCATTGAAATATCTCCTAGGGACCCCTGGATATTCTAGGTGTTCCTAGGAGTTCACCAGATTCTACTAGGTCCTCCTAAATCTCCTTTAGGTTCTCCAAGGTATTGGATTCTCCCCAAATTTTTGCTAGTTCCTAGTTCTACTGACCCTTACTCAAGAGAAGCCCAGGCAGCATCAGAATATAGAGTCTGGATTAAGTCTGGGGTGTATATTTATATAAAGCGAAGGAAGTGGGAGTTTAGGGGTGACTGACCCCTTGAATATCAATTCAACCATCCTGATCATAGTTCGATGTACATACATATGTTGCATATGTAAAATATATTTAATTAGCCCGTGTACATATATATGCAACTGGCAAATGCGAACGCTATATATAGTCCTGTTTGACTTGATAAATATGGCCACTTTAACGCGTCTCCTAATATTTAAACACAATTCTTGAGATTAGTCAATTTTTTGCTTTCAAGTAACATTCGATTCACGTGAACAAGTTTGTTAATAAATGGCTTAATTAAAAAATATAAGTCGAACAGAAGGATACCTCGTGGATAAGCGTTCGCAGGTTGTTCAGAGAAGAATATATATTGAAAAAAAAATTATGATAAACATTCAGGAATCCGTCGTGGGCATTCGCAGCTCAATAAACACGTTTGGTTTTTATACATAAAACACGTATACACGATATTTCTCGATACTTGTTGCACCGATCCTCTATTTCAAGCCTCGGGCAACTGATGCGCCCTCGGGCACGTAGATCTCCCTTCGGGTTTCATCAAAATGTTACTTTCTTTTCGTGACAACATTTAATTTACCGTCACGGGGGCATCGAGTTGCTCGAGGCTGCTACTTCATCGTTAAAGTGTTAGCACGACTCGTCCTTAACTAAACATTATAAAAATCTGAATTATCTCGCAGGCTGGCTTGTGATACGCGGAAGAAACAGCAAGAATTTTCGGACACGCGTTTCGAAGGAATTGAACGATGTACTATTTCGCTTCTAGCGAGATCAACTCGGTTTATTTGCTTGGAAATAAAATTCTGTGCCATTTTAATTTGCTCTCGAGGGTTTCTTCAACCGGCCTAAAAATAGATTACTCGTTTTCCGGTTTCCACGAAAATCAGCGTTTCTGAAGACAGCCTGTTCTAATAGCATTAGGTTTTTATTGGGGATGTGCGGATTTTCGAGTCGGAAAATCTCGGACGCGCTCGGGTGAGTTCGCTCGAGAGTGGGCGTGGTTTGACGAGATCGGACGCACTCGGGTGAGTTCGGTGGAGAGTGGGCGCGGTTGAAGGGAGATCGGACGCCTTCGGGTGAGTTCGGTCGACAGTGGGCGTGGTCTAACGGAGATCGGACGCGCTCGGGTGAGTTCGGTCGACAGTGGGCGTGGTCGTACTGAGATCGAACGCCTTCGGGTGAGATCGGTCAAGAGAGGGAGCCGAATATGATCGAACGAGCCACCTTGTGGATTTGAATCCACTCGAATAAAATTGGAATTCGAATTGTACCGATGTAACTCCCGACATATCTGGTAACCGCACATCCCTAGTTTTTATGGATCGAGTTCTATCCTTTTCAAACGAAGATCGAGATTCCCGCCAAAACAACGATACCGTTTAGAACGAGCGATATTTCGGAAAACGATGAAAATTGCATATTAATCGAAGGAATGAAACTTCGCAGTCAGAATTTCGATCTACGTTCACGGGCACACGAATTATTTCGCCTGTTTACGACCACTCGGTTTAGCGGAAGACCTAACGCAGAAGACAATGGTTACGCGATTGCACAAACGAAGAAACAGATAAAAACATACCAAAACTAAAGAAACTAAGTGAGTTTAAGGTTAAATCGATTTTATCAAGTATTCTAAACGTGGAAACCTCTTACATGTAACGTTTATCGAGCGATTATTAATCCTTTCGCTGCGGCTTGCAACTTTTCTTAATTTCAATTATTAAAATACATTTTTTTTATTCTTCGATATTAGCTGTACATTCAATCGTAAATATGCGCTTTTTGTTATTCACAAGTTTCGTAAATTTTTTCGTAGCGAATAGTTTGTACAACTGCTTTTGTTATCTTCAATTTTTTTGCAAGTTAACTGAACGTATATATACGATCTTCTAAATAAGAGGCTTCTCAGTAAATTATTCGATAAACATATACATAGACGTTAATGTACGACTTTGACAAATTTAGGACTACATTTTTGCAACGTATATATACGTCGAAATAATCAAACTTTGTTACTAGATCTAAATTGATACAATTAATATATTGAAATGTTTTCTGTCCAGATTTTTGTGCGATGTTTGGTTAGGATTCGCTCACATTTTACCAATGTGAGTACGTGAGTCGATATTTGAGAGAACGTATATATACGTGGTCCGCAGCGAAGGGATCGGAGAGATAGATAAGAGTTAAAGTTAAGCTCGTGATCGACCGTTTCATATCCGTTCGACGCACAGTCGAAAAGAAGGCGAAATCTGAAAATCTATCGAGAGATTAATTATTTAACGGATGATTTAAGGAGTAAGGATTAACGGTAGGTCTTTGTTAGCCCGTTGGCGCAAAATCGAATCGACGTTCTACTGATCTGTGATCATTGCGTGTCAGATTCTGGACGGCAGAGCCGCGAAAGGCCGATTAGTTAGACGATTTTCAATTCGAATTCTTACGAACTATTCTCGGTCGTAATAATCTTTGATAAACTTAGTTTTACCTCATTGCGAATTGTAAAGATATTATATATTATATATATATATATATATATATATTATACATAATTGTAAATCAAAACAGACACAAAAAAATATGAAAGAAATACCTAATTGTGAATAACACCTAAGTTGTTGTGCATATATTTTAAAATAAGAATAAATATTATTTAAGAGACACTCAGGGTTTCTTTTTGTTGCATGCATTTTATGCTCCTTGAACAAAATGGCTGCTGTAATTCAAGATGGCTGCTGTAATTCAAGATGGCTGCTGTAATTCAAGATGGCTGCTGTAATTCAAGATGGTTGCTGTAATTCAAGATGGCTGCTGTAATTCAAGATGGCTACTGTAATTTAAGATGGCTACTGTAGTTCAAGATGGCTACTGTAGTTCAAGATGGCTACTATAACTCAAGATGGCTACTATAACTCAAGATGGCTACTATAATTCAAGATGGCAACTATAATTCAAGATAGCTACTATAATTCAAGATAGTTACTATAATTCAATATGGCTACTATAATTCAAGATGGCTACTATAATTCAAGATGGCTGCTGTAGTTCAAGATGGCTACTATAACTTAAGATGGCTACTATAACTCAAAATGTCTGTTGTACCTCAAGATAGCCACCATAACTCAAAATGTCTATTATACCTCAAGATAGCCATCATAACTCAAAATGTCTATTGTACCTCAAGATAGCCACCATAACTCAAAATGTCTATTATACCTCAAAATGGCCACCATAACTCAAAATGTCTATTGTACCTCAAGATGGCCACCATAACTCAAGATGGCTACTATAATTCAAGATGGTTGCTATAATTCAAGATGGCTACTATAACTCAAGATGTCCACCATAACACAAAATGGCTACTATGCCTCAAGATGGCCACCATAAAATGGCCACCATAACTCAACCCAGCCATTACAACTCAAAATGGCAGTCTACAAATCTCTAAAAATGTCCAATAAAATTTTCTGAAAATCTACTGAACGCATTTTAATTCCCATCGCAAAAGAAATATTATTCTCAACAAACGTTTACGTATCTACAGCCGTATATCTGCCGTGTGTTTCACAACCCGTCGTAAAATAAAAGCACACCATAAGTTTGGACGTAAAAGAGATTCGTGTTCCGACAACAGGAAGCATCGTACGCTTTTAAAAATTGCATGCAGCCACGTTTAGCGGGGAAAATAACATGTTGGACATAATGCCTGAAATACATATGTCAGTATTCGGTTAAACGACGTGGTATTCGGTGTTTTATGACTGCATAACGTTCCGCTTGCATCGTAAAGAATACCCAGGTACTTTGGTCAAGTGAATTTCAAATTATGCTGCGCTTTTTTTCAAATTCCTTTATTGTTCTACTCTGTGTACAACTTTTGATTAATCCTAACTTATTCTAACCCGTAACTTATAGAATTTAGTCGCTAATTTATTGTCAAGGTTTTGAAATGTTTGAATATTTTTGAATACCCCTTAATCTATAATTTGCATAGCTAGCTATTACAGCTACAAGGGTTTATTTTTTCATGTCAAAATGTGATTAGAACCTTACCGAATGCCTCGAAAATGGTGGATCGATTTCGCTTCCCAATTAATTTTGTTTAACACGTTCAACGAGGTTTTGTAACGCGGCTTATCGGATCTCCGTTTAACGAGTTTCCTCCGTTACAGCATGTACACGATAATCCACAGCCAACCTAATTAACTTCTTAAAAGGTTAACTATTTTTTACAACCTAACCGACTACATTTTTCGTAGACTAGAAACATTGAACTAGATTTTAGAGAAGATCCGACGATCGCTCTCGACGCGATTATCGACAAACTTCCACTTTCTTCGATTCGACAGATTTTCCTATTTTACCGGCCGTACGCACAGAGGGCTCCCAGGTGGTAATAATTCTGTCCGGCTGAAAACAGAAACAATCTACAATTGATAGTTGTATTCTACGCTCTCGTTATATTGCCACGAAGTTGCAGACGCATACGTATCGATTCGATATGCAGCGAGTCTAACCGGTAATGATATTATACGGAGCGTTGGGACGCATGGTAATGCAAGTTCCAACGCTTTCAGAATGTGGCGACACGACTCGCTGAGAATGTAATGCGTGGCGATTTAACGCGTGGTTGTGATACGTGGTGAATTTGACGCGTGGTAAATCTGCTGCGTACCGAATCTGACGCGTGTCAACTGTAATACATGCTGAATGTAATATGTGATGAGTCTGACGCATGAATCTATCATGTGGCCATATAACACGAAGGAAATCAAGTGCTTCCAAGTGCAACGTGTGGTCCTACACCGTATATGAAATCTACCCAAATTGATGAAACTAAGGAAAAATCTAGTAACCGTAGCGCTACTCATTCGGCAATATAACGAGAGCCCACAGTACCTCCCTTATATGCCTCGTTACGATTGATCTGATTCAGATATTTAAGAAAGTAGTTAGAACGCAATCATCGGTTGAAACTTACAGCAAAGTCCGGCGTATTGAATGTAATTTATGAGTCTGACGCATGAATCTATCGTGTGGCGATATAACACGAAGGAAATCAAGTGCTTCAGTGTAACGTGAGGTCCTACACTGTACATGAAATCTACCCAAATTTATAAAACTAAGGAAAAATCTAGTAACCGTAGCGTTACTCATTCGGCAATATAACGAGAGCCTACTGTACAGTACCTCCCTCATATGCCTCGTTACGATTGATCTGATTCAGATATTTAAGAAAGTAGTTAGAACGCAATCATCGGTTGAAGCTTACAGCAAATTCCGGCGTATTGAATGTAATATATGAGTTTGACGCGTGAATCTATCGTGTGGCCATATAACACGAAGGAAATCAAGTGCTTCCAAGTGTAACGTGAGGTCCTACACCGTACATGAAATCTACCCAAACTGATCGTGTCATGAAACTAAGGAAAAATCTAGTGACCGTAGCGTTACTCATTCGGCAATATAACGAGAGTCCACTGTACAGTAGCTCCCTCATACGCCTCGTTACGATTGATCTGATTCAGATATTTAAGAAAGTAGTTAGAACGCAATCATCGGTTGAAGCTTACAGCAAAGTCCGGCGTATTGAATGTAATATATGATTCTGACACGTGAATCTATTGTGTGGCCATATAACACGAAGGAAATCAAGTGCTTCCAAGTGTAACGTGAGGTCCTACACCGTACATGAAATCTACCCAAATTGATGAAGCTAAGGAAAAATCTAGTGACCGTTACTCATTCGGCAATATAACGAGAGTCCACTACCTCCCTCATACACCTCGCTACGATCGATCTCATTCATTTAAGAAAGTAAATCGGTTGAAACTTACAGCAAAGTCCAGCGTATCGATTCGAATAAACCATCCCGTAGGTGCCGCAAGCAGGCTGTCCTGATTGATAAGGTTGAAAGCCGAGCACGTTCCCGCTGCGATGCGAAAGAATTAAGGTTAAACAGCGTCGGAAGGATGATTTATCGCGGCGGTGACGAAACGCGACTGATTACGCAGCGTGTTCAAAATTTATCGGTTCATCAAAAACTCGCGAGGGAAAGAGTGTCTTCATACATCATTCATGGTGTTCACGCTTGTTGGTACGAGAACCCTTGATCCTGACTATTCGCGAAACTGCAAGAAATTTATGACAGCCATCGTTGGATTCCACGCACGTTCCACTCTTCGCGAATGTCTGAAATCCCCCCGATACCCAACGTCGAAGTCTAAGCTGATTGAAAATTAACAAGTAGACTCTTGAAAAACCGAAGCGGATAGAAGCAATTGGTGATTGTGAAGCAGCTCGCGTTCCGCCGGAGCTCTAGTACCTCGATAACGTATTTTCTGCTCGAAATTGTGAGCGGAACCTGAACGAGAACCTACGAAATCGAGCTAATAAAAAACACGGGTAAAACGAAGTCCAGAATGGCGAGCTCATTTCCTGTAGGACAACGATGTAATTTGGAGAAATAAAATAATCTTTTATTGCTATGCAAATGGTGAAAGGCTACTGTGTTCAATTTTGCTTGCAAACTCAAAAATTTGACGATTGTATGAACCTGCAGTTGAGCACTAGCGAGAAAGTCTCGACGCCATGCGCCATCTAGCGGCGACAAAGCGAAACTGTACCTAATTTGTCGCCTACCACATGATACACAATGTTGCTCCGCACGAATGCCCATGATCGCAGTAACCAATAATCGGATATCCCCACAGAGACTCAGAAGATTACTCTACCATTGCTGCTCTGCATACTCTATTATGTATGTACAACAATACTGCCCATATAGTTGCCCGTAACCTTGGAAATAAGGTATACTCCCAGAGGGAAGATTCTCAAGTCCGCGGTCACTTCTTGCCTCTCTGCGTGTCCATAAATTCCCGACAAGTCCACGAGCTCCGTGTTTAGCTTGCGAAGAGTTTGGTCCTCGTAAACAGGAGTACAATTGGGGCTGGACAAAGGCTCGTAAGAACTGCACCGGACGGAAGCATAAAGTCGCGAGGAACAAGGGAAAGTAGAAGAACACGCGAGTTTATTTCGAAATCATGCGTGCTTCGTTGAGGTGCGCTCTGGCAAGCACACGTTGGGGACCGTGGATGGTTAGAATTGATATGGAAGTTCTCACCTAGGTCCGTAGTTGCAGACGTAGTTCTTGGTGTAGCCTCGAGCAGGGTCGTAGTAGAAGGAGTATCCGCAGCCCACGAGATACGTGTCACCCCAGACGAGCTGCAAGTAATTTAAAACCTGCATCATCCCTTCGAATATCCGAGATTCCTCGGCAGCGGACTTCCTCGAATTTCCCGAATACTTTCTCTACGAGCGCCGAGGGTTTTCCAGACTATTTTCGCGCGATCACGGCTGGGAATCATCTCCGGCAGTCCGCGACAGATGATTAATTAGTTTAGTTTCACGGTCCGTTGAAACTTCCGAACAAATAAAAAATCCCGGTATCGAGGTCGTATTTCATCTCGGCCCGGTAAATTTGATTATTCCGGGACTTTAAACAGTCGTTCTTCAAAGTCATCTTTATGAGCCCGCGGTGGACTGACCGGAAGCGTTCTTCGCGCTATTCATTTAACGTGAACGATCACCAACCTGAGTGTAGTGACCGGTCGCGTCACTGTAACCGGCTCGATAATGCTGCACCTCGTTGAACCAATCCGTGATCCTCTGTCTCCAGTTCGGTTCGTCGTCGAACGGTCCCGGAGGTCTCGTTGTCCATGTACGAGCGATATTTTGCCCCACTGCGAACCTACCTGTAGATCGATCACCATTAATCTTGATCGATCCAAAGAGATACAGAGAATTGCTTTTCTATCTGGCCGATTTCTTGCGCCTTTAATTTATTGACTGTCGTACGCATGGCGGGATCGGATTGTAAATCCCAAGGAAATGGAGGGTTTAATTTGATGTACAGGCTAATACATATACGGCCGTCTCGAGCCCTGTGCATTAACGCGATGAAGAGTTAAGTTCACTGTTCCGAACGTGATACTTTTAAACTTGTACTGCTGAATTCTAAAGTGGTGTTTCTACGTTTGATACTTTCAAAGTCGGCTGGGTAATATTACTCATTCGGGAGGGACAGTGCTCTTGTTTATGATTGAACACGTCTGAGGTTGATGGATATCATTTATTATAATTAACTGATGTATGTTAATGTACGTGATTAAAGTGATGTACAGGGCGATTCAAAAGTGAATTCATTGTGTATGGCAATATTAATAATTGAGTTTGGTGTACATGATTAGAGTGATGTACAAGGTGATTCAAAAGTTGATTCATTGTGTATGACAATATTAAAAATTCAGTTTTGTGTACATGATTAATGTGATGTACAAGGTGATTCAAAAGTTGATTCATTGTGTATGATAGTATTAAAAATTCAGTTTTGTGTACATGATTAAAGTGATGTATAAGGTGATTCAAAAGTTGATTCATTGTATATGACAATATTAATAATTGAGTTTTGTGTACATGATTAAACTGATGTACAAGGTGATTCAAAAGTTGATTCATTGTGTATGGCAATATTAATAATTGAGTTTTGTGTACATGATTAAAGTGATGTACAATGTGATTCAAAAGTTGATTCATTGTGTATGACAGTATTAATAATTGAGTTTTGTGTACATTATTAAAGTGATATCCAAGGTGATTCAAAAGGTGATTCATTGTGTATGACAGTATTAAAAATTCAGTTTTATGTACATGATTAAAGTGATGTACAAGGTGATTCAAAAGTTGATTCATTGTGTATGACAGTATTAAAAATTCAGTTTTGTGTACATGATTAAAATGATGTATAAAGTGATTCAAAAGTTGACTCATTGTGTATGACAATATTAAAAGTTCAGTTTTATGTACATGATTAAAGTAATGTACAAGGTGATTCAAAAGTAGACTCATCATCTATGACAATATTAATAATTGAGTTTTGTGTACTTGATTAAAGTGATGTACAAGGTGATTCAAAAGTTGATTCATCGTCTATGACAATATTTAAAAATTGAGTTTTGTGTACATGATTAAAATGATGTACAGGTTGATTCAAAAGTTGACTCATCTACGACAACATTAAAAATCAAGTATTTTTAAAAGCGTTTCTCATAGTTCAATTAACAGTAAGTATACTTACGGACGTTTCGGTAATTGTCGTGAATTTCCGCGCACCTACTCGCCCACCTCTGCGCGATCGCCGCGAGTTCGTCGTCCCAGACCTGCAAAATAGTTGTCCCGTCGTCGGAAAAAGATTCACGGCAAACATTTCCGGTCCGTGAACAGTTGTGCGCGTCTTAAGTAAATTTGTTCTGCCGTTACGTAGCGCGTTTAAACGCGGCAAGAAACCGTGGGAAACACGGCAGCGGAGTTGCCTGACCGTGTATGTGCGCCGCGTTAGAAAAAGTATTCCACCGTGGCAAGAAGCTCGGTGGAAAGATTAAGTAAGCAGCGTCCTCTTACCATCTCCCTCATATTCTCGGCACCCGGCTGTCCATGAATTTGCCCCAAAGCCACCAGCTGTCTCAGACGATTATGCTCGTCTAAGATGGCCTGTTTCTCCTCGCAGGATAAACCTGCGGATCCTGTGAATGAATACATCCTAATCTTAGTCAGGTTTGTGCAATCTGAAAATTACGTCATCGTAATTGTTGTTAGGTGTCTAATGATGGTTCCTCGAAATTTTTGCAATAAATTTATGGCCTTCGGGGTATTTTATTTTGTATGAACTCCGTCAAGATCAAACCCAACCTGCCATGAAGTATCCCTAAGAAGATCAGACTTAAATTGATTCTGTTTCAATAGTAAGTTCGAAATGACAAAAGCACGATGTAACTGTAAAAACAATTCGCCAAGAGAACGAAGAGAGACGTTGAGCGAAGAAATTCGATTCTCGATTCGTCGCGCGGCAACGGGGAAATTTACATCCATCTCCGAGACAAAGGTACGAATCTCGTTTTCGTCGGCGAACTAAAAGTTATTAGGGAAAAGAATACGTCGGAACGGAAGTTTCCGCGGGAAAGACAGAGGAAACGTCGTTAAAGCGGAATCCAGGAAAGTTAAGAGCAATTGAAGGAGACGAGAGAAACTGGAAGCGGTAGCGAACCGAGATGAACCTCCAATGATTTACGCGGCGTATTTAATGTATTTCGAAAGACAGCGATATCGATAGACCGTTTATTTCGACGCGCGTATTCTCTTTGCATCGACGCGAATGCATAATAAACTGTGTGTGGATGTACTCCACCGCGGATCAGGCAAACCGTGCTCCGGGACTAAAACATGACTTGGTAGCATTAATCAATTAAAACTCGCTGAATTCGTAATTCCTTTAACTGCACTTTAGGCAAGTTAGCGCGAGACGGTACTAATTCATGGAGGGACACTGCGTACATTTTAAATCACCAGGCAGATGAAGATTCATCAATGAAGTAGGCCCTCTATTCGACTCTTAGATTAGATGGTTAATTCTTAACGTCCTTATTAACCTCAACTCGCCATCTGACTATTTAGGTGCATAAGATAGGCTGGGTTTGCTTATTAGGACCTTGAAGGACCTTCAGAAACCTTCGAGATCTTGGAAATCGAGTAAGGTTGGGTTTGAACTTAAGGGAGTCAGTTTTAGGTTAGGTCTGAACTTGGACATTAAGGTTAGGTTTAATATCTGTGGAGTTCATTGACAGTAAGGTTGGGTCTGAACTTAAGGGAGTCAGTTTTAGGTTAGGTCAGAACTTATAGATGTTGATGGAAGGTTAGGTTTAATCTCTGTGGAGTTCATTGACAGTAAGGTTGGGTCTGAACTTAAGGGAGTCAGTTTTAGGTTAAGTCTGAACTTATAGATGTTGATGGAAGGTTAGGTTTAATCTCAGTGGAGTTCATTGGCAGTAAGGTTGGGTCTGAACTTAAGGGAGTCAGTTTTAGGTTAAGTCAGAACTTATAGATGTTGATGGTAGGTTAGGTTTAATCTCAGTGGAGTTCATTGACAGTAATGTTGGGTTTGAACTTAAGGGAGTCAGTTTTAGGTTAAGTCTGAACTTATAGATGTTAATGGTAGGTTAGGTTTAATCTCAGTGGAGTTCATTCACAGTGAGGTTGGGTCTGAACTTAAGGGAGTCAGTTTTAGGTTAAGTCAGAACTTATAGATGTTGATGGTAGGTTAGGTTTAATCTTAGTGGAGTTCATTGACAGTGAGGTTGGGTTTGAACTTGAAGTATGTAACTGTAGTTTAGGTATGAACATGTCAGAGTTGATGGAAGGTTAGATTCAACGTCAGTATTGTTCATTGACAGTAAGGTTGAGTTTGAACTTAATGTAGTCAATTTTAGATTGAGTATGAACATGTTGCAGTTGATGGAAGGTTAGGTTCAATCTCAATGGAGTTCATTGACAGTGAGGTTGAGTTTGAACTTGAAGTACGTAATTATAGGTTAGGTATGAACTTGTCGAAGTTGATGGAAGGTTAGGTTTAACTTCAGTATTGTTCATTGACAGTAAGGTTGGGTTTGAACTTAATATAATCAATTTTAGGTTAGGTTTAAACTTGTCGATGTTGATGACAGTTCATGTTGAATCTCAGTGTACTTCATCGAAGGTAAGGTTAGTTCTGAACTTGTTAGAGGTTGTATAGGTTAGGTACGAGATTTAAATTTGAACGAATGCGTTCAGATATAATTTCCAATTATAGTTAAATAGCAACTAATTTGATAGCAATTAATTAGCGCAAACGCGTCAGATTTCGTTCCCGAAATTCGAGCGATTGTTGTGCACCGATTTCGTAGAATTAACCGGAAACGCGTGTTTTAATTCACGGACTCGCCTCGCAGTCTGCCGCAGCAGTTATTTTTAAAGTCGAACTCACTCGGTGTTCGACGCTGTATCGAAACGTAATAGATTCCAATTTTCTCCCTGTAAATAATCTACGAATTGAATTATTCATGAGACGAAGAGTGGCACAGCTGGACGAAAAGCGGAGCAATAAACCTGCCCACCTCTTTTTTTCCTTCTCCTTCTTCGTCTTCCTCCTCTCTTTTGTCTCTTTTTACTTACTTAATTACCTCTGGGCTCCGTTTGACGTCTCAGTTAAGATGAGAAACACCCGACCAGATTCTTTTTTATTTCCAGACGAGATTAAAGCGAAAGAAATTTGAAAAAAAAAGCCTGCTCGCTTCTTTTTCTTTTTAATTTATAAAATACGTCAACGCGGTACGCTCGTACTTTATTTATTATCCCGTTGCGAAACAAGTTTAATGAAAATTTTCAACAATTCGCGAGTTAATTTCAATTTTTGATGTTACCGTGAAATTCGATTAACATTGCGAGTAAATTTACATAATAACTCGTTTGATCGTATCGAATTATTAATTGTTACTTTAACGATACAATATTATTGTATCTCAGGTTATATTGTTCGGCGATTAATTAAAATTCATTTTTTTATCGTCGCGTTAATATTTATCGCATTGTTTATGTATACAAAGTGCTATTTATACGATTCCCTCCGGTTTCCGATTCGACTTCGTATTTCTAAATCGGACGATTTCGAAAGTCGACGTTTTTGCTCGTAAAAATCATCTTTTATATTCTGTACGCGATATACGGCTGCTATTTTTGATTATGATTGCATAATTAGTTTTATATATAGCCAAGAGACCGCAACCCGTTTCGCTAAACCTATTTTCCCCGATTTCGAGAATCTGTTAACGAGAGAAAATGAACGGCAATTAAATTCGCGAATGTCCCGCGGATTTTTTCCATAAACGATTAACGCGCTTCCGTTCCAACGAAAAAATTACGTATTCCCGTCGTATTGCCGGATTTATTCAAATTTCTCTCGGCGTGTTCCGTGAAACGAGCAGATTACCTCGGAATTAAAAATAATCCAGCCGGGCACACGACCCCTTTTTTTTCTCCCTCTTATCGTTCATTCTTTAACGTGTCTTTTTTTACGATCGCGAAATTATCGGATTATTAATACCGCGTTAAAACAGTTTCTTCGACATCGGGCATAATAACGTTGCTGTTCGACGGAGAAACGGAAATCGATGAACCAACCGATGCTTTTAATTAATGAGAGAAAGTTACTTGAATACAGATTTTAATTAAGTGTCGTTATAACTGCATCTTTAATTCCTCGTATGTTAATGCAATATTTATGGTAAATGAAAGAGGAGTGATATAAATTAATTAGGTGTCATCGGACGTCGATTCGAGTCTGTTTAAAGTTATTATAGTTGGAGTATGTTGTTCCACTTTGGATGACATTGGTATGGATACGGGTCAGACTCGTGACGAGATGTTTAGAATTTTAATTTTGGAATTGGCAGTGTTTTCATGAGTTTGTCTCTTGACGCACTCTTGACGCACTCGTAATGCTCCCCTGACGCAC